ATTTATATTCATTCCCTAGCGATATTAAGTTACCCGCTCTTATTACCGGGTAACACTGCGGGGCACCTCTAGTGTTTATTAAATGTGTAAAAAGCAGTCTTGAAAATACTTATCTAGATTAATTATTTAATTAAAATATATTGTAGCCCGGAATTAGTTGTTGTAATTTTACGTAAGATAATATTAATTTTGCAATTAAAATGTGTGAAATAAAGATCTAGCTTTGATGCTCTAGAAGAAATATTTTGAAACTTTCGTATCATTGTTTAATCGCACTAACGAATAAATTGATTTGTTTTCTGCGACTGTAACTGAAATCAAATCTAAACATTGAAAACGATGAGTTGCTGTCAAAAATAAAGTAACAAATATATTTCGCTTTAAACGGTCAAAAATGTCTTGTTTTGTCTTTTAGTTTGATATTCAAAATCATTTAATTCCTCGCTATAACCTATGACAAACAACAGCTGGACATCAGAAACTACTTCTACGATACTAAGATAAAGATTACGAGTTATGACCAATGGAAACTTGTTGATAAGGCTCGTAAACGCGCGTTTTTAAATTTAAGTTTTAATTATTGATTAATATTCTGAACACATTAATATTTTTTACATGTTTATTGCACACGAAGGCTCTATATACTTTAAAAATCTCAGCTGCTGCTCAGCTGTCGCTAAGAGCAACAGCACGAAACGCTGACGATGCCGGTTCAAATCCTGCCCGAGTCGAAAATTTTTTCAATTTATTTTCGATTTTTAAATGTTGAATATTCTTTCAATGCATTTAACGATTTCATATATGCAATTAGCAAATAATAATAATAATAATAATGTATATAATTCTTAACTCAGGAATAACCAAAAACTTAAGAGTCGTTGAAACTTAGGTTAACCCGGTAAAACGTATAGGGCATACGGAACTTGCAATAAAAAAATAAAGGCAAATTCGCCTACCTAATTACACTTTTAACGGTATAAAAAACGCAGGTAAAATCTATTAGTTAAACTTTTTTACAAATTCATTTTACTGCGGCCACGTTTTTGATGCGTTGCAGCAGCCGTGGTCACAGATGGTACTTAATTAACCAGTGTGGGCTGCAAAATGGAAATAAAGTTCGAAACATCGGAAACGTTGTAGTTAAAATAATTTGTAAATAAGTTTAAGTTTCGCGGTGTAAACCGTTAAAAGTGTTTTATTTAAATGTGCCCTGGTCAAGAAAACTACAGTAAGGTTATCACATTAAACTCATAATTAAAAGCTTTTTGTGTTATCCATATGCTTTCATGGCTTTAGACAGAAAAAAAATATTATATTTATATAAGATACAAGACAACACGCCGTTTTAATGGCCACACAAGTGACGCAACAATCAATTAAAAGGTAAGAGGTATTAATTACTATAAATTAACTCGTTGAGTTATAACATAGCATTGTCTCGAAGCGTTTCACGAGTTCAGCTCAATTGAATGTTTTATAAGAGGCATGCATAGATTTTTATTATACTTATTTGTGCAGTGTTTGATAATTATAACTCGAAATTAAATTAAGATAGATAACTTAAGTACTTATTGTGATTTTTATGTAATTATCTTCTAACTAATATACTAAACAAATAATATTAAGTTAAACTTCACTTTAACTAATGAAGTTGACATTTGAACATTTATCTTAATGACAAATAACAAACAGACAAGCTCCCTTGATGGTAGGTGATATTCAGCCTCTAAGCCTAGCATCTAAACAAGATGCGTTATCGATCTATTTTAGCTTTGCATATTCGGAAATCCACTTAAAGAAATCTAATTGTTACAAGTTAATTTTACAAAAGAACTTCTATAAATAATTAAATATTCCATGCTATAAAGGACCTCCGTAAAACCAATTGAAAAATTAAATTTTCTTATATCATAAATGTCCAATATCCAAGGTCAAAATTAGATCGACATCGCATCTTCTTTAGATGTTATATGGCTGGGCTTATACCATCAAATGTGCCCGTGCTTGCCTGTCCTCCGCTATATATCCCACAATAAATATATCCCAAGCAATAACAGAAATATTCGTTGTTATTTTATCACTAAGCTTCAATGTGCTGTATCATGTCCAGACACCAGTTATACTAGATCAAGGTAAGCTGCTGCCTGGTCAACTACTTATTTGTTGTTTTACTTCCCGTGACAACTTTTGTAGGGAAATCCACAATTGCGTAAGAACACTACGGTACAGTTCTAATATAATAAATCTTTTATTTCAGACATTTACAGGTCTACTGTGTTAGTATGTTCTGAAAAATGAGTTAGTATGGTTGAAGTTTATATTAAAGGTTATACACCTTAAGGACCTTAATAAAGGACCTTAGTCCGCACGCCTACGAAGACGTCCACACAGTGCCTAACATAAGGACTAACTTACTATAACAACAGTTTCGGAATTTCTGGGTTTGAGTCCCGACCAAAAAGGGTTTTTAATATGTAGCCTATAAATGAACAACGCTTTTACATACTGTCAGTAGTTTACACGATTAGACATTTTATTGATTTAAAACGCGAAATATATTAGTTCAACTTGTTTACCAATAATTTTAACTACAGCTCGACGTTGAGGGTGTCTCAGATATCAAAGTAAAAACTGCTAAGCTGCGTAGTTACAAATAATTTGTAAATAAGTTTATTTTACATATATACCGCGTTTTAAACCGTTAATGTTTTGTTTAAGACACTAACGGTTTAAAACGCGGTATATATGAGACATTTAAATTCTAACAATATTTCGCAATTATAATATTAGTAGGATAAGTATGTATAATATTACAAACACCTATACTGAGGTTGAAGGAAGTCGACCGCACTCTTACTAGTTTTTGTAAGAGTTTTTGCTGCCTTATAAGCGCCAAGTGGCCTTGGAATACTTTGGCGTAATTCAATAGCGGAAGTAGTCTGATATAAGTACTTTTTTACTATTCTCGCCATGAATCACAATCGATTTTACACGTGTTATTGATTTCTGATTTTTAAGCAGCTTGTCACAGAAGATGGAGCCGTAAGACCCTATCTGGTCCAAAATGGCGTAGAAGAAGTTGGCAAAGAAGGCGACGAAAATCGCTGAAGTCACTTGCGATGTATATCTAATAATCGACGGGTCGTCGCGCGTTGTGTTTGGTAACAATTTATAATAGGATGGATATTGTAACATAATAGTTTAAATAAAACACTTTAACGGTTTAAAACGCGATATATTAGTTAAACTTATTTGAAAATGCCACGGGAAGACCGTGACCACGGCTGCTGCAAAGCATCCGAAACGTCGGGCCGAAGTTAAAAATCATTTTCAAATAAGTTTAACTAATATATCGCGTTTTAAAACGTTAAAGTGTTTTATTTAAATGTGTACTACTCGCGTAAACTATAGACAGTACATAATAGTTTTCTTAAGTACCAACTTACTCATGAATCTTATATTTTTGACGGATTGGTTGGTTTAATAGACAATGTATGGCTAACAAAAGTCGAGAGTTAGATTCCAACTTATTTCTAATCAAATTGTATATTTTCTAAAAGATGTTGGACTTTGTCTGATAGTCTGTATCTTAAATGAGTGGTAGAAATATGGAAATATCCTTCCGGGCGACGAACTAACGTACATAGATGAAAGAGCCGTGAAGTTTAATCGCGTTTCCGTGTAAGTCTAAGAATTTTCAATTGTTTAAATAAAATAAGGCTAATAACAGACAATTGTGAATACGCAAGGAGGTCCTCGATGACTATGTTAATAAAAAATAGGATAAAGTAATTCAATGTAATTGTATGAAATTATATTATAATGCATATAGCCACTCCGTTTAGTAAGCATATTCTCTTGTTTTGTATTAATGCACGTAGTCACATATAGACTATTTATACATTTACTCACGTATTCTTCACCATATCTGTATATAAGCCTTTACCTTTCATATTAATAATTAGACTAAATTACATCATGAGTCTCATGTTACTCCTTGCCAGGTTCATAGGCAAATTGGTGACCCCATTGTATTATTGAAGTATCCATGTTAAACATATAACTTTAAAAAAATTGTATTTTGATTAGTATCCATATGACTTGAATTTAAAATGTAAATAAAATAACAATAAGTAAATAAATTTATTTATGCAAATTACATACAGCATTAATAAATCACTACTTACTAATACTTACACTTATAGTATCTAAGCCGATCCTAAGGAGACAAATTAAAAAAAAAAAAACTATGCTTCTTTCTCGATCGGTGTGACCAGTATTTATAATGATTATTTACTTTGTATAAGAATTAGATTTTGGACAAAGAATTGAGCATAAAAGATAACTTTACATATAATTTGATTAATATCATATCCCACAGTCCCTTTAACATATCTCACAGTTGGGAATATAGCATTCTTAAACTGTCCCAAAATAATTACTTTTGAATCTTTCGCGTTCCCAATTCGTGTTAGTTCTAGTAGACACACATTGTATATTGTTTGAATTTAGAACGCTGCAATTTCTCCACGATACGACGAGCACCTTTATCTACCCAAGTTAAATACACGACAGAGGATCGAACTCCCGACCAACACGGCTTTAATTTGATTATAGACATATACCGAGCGCCCTCGAACTACCTTTACGCAAGACGTCCTCGTCTCACAACGCAACAATTAAATACACACACGCTTTTAAAATAGTAAAGATCTCGATAATTCGGTACGCACAACAATAACATTTTGTAATAATTAAAGTCCTAATTTAGAAATACGTAACGATCGTGTTAAGGTCACGTTAGCACTAAACCCATTTGAAAATACTGAACTCTACTGGGATATTATAAATTATCGTCTTATTATATTATATTGATGATACAAAAAGTTTATAATTGCCTTTATACGCATTAAGACTTAGATATAAATATGAACTTCTGGTTACGAAATTAGTTAAATTCTATCGTTTGTAAAGGATCTACTTGTTTTGTGCAATCCAAAATGATGTGTAAAGTGGTAAGTCTGAATTTTGAAGTGATAAATGTTTTATTCGGGAATAGGCATAACAGTTTTATTTTCCCCAATTTCGATCGTGAAACCTCATACGTCCAATTCGAGCGACATCCGATATATATTGTCCAATATAGGAAGATAAGTTTCATAACTTCCTATGACGAAACAATAACGAAGGCGTAGTATGTAAATCCGTGTATTGGTTTATGATAATTTAATAGCGAATATTAAGGATAAACTCGTTATTTTAATTGGAAAATGAAAAATGAATTAATTTAAATATATCGCGATTACTCGCTTAATACTATTATTAAATAAAAATCGATTATAGATTGAAAATAATTACAACATAGGCAATACTCGAACCGGCATCCACAGCGTTTCGTGCTGTTGCTCTAACCAATTGAGCTACTGTGTCCTACATGTCATCGTCGAATTTTTATATATATTTATATTATATTTGCTCGTAAAGTGGTTGTATTTACACCAATATTTTATATTTATTGTACAATCGATTTTCGTGACACAGAGACTTTTGTTACTTTTTTACCAGCGAACTCATCATCCTATATTAGACAAAGTATAGTGACGACGGCAAAAAGGACGCTCGGATTCGTTTATTATAAAAATAGTAATATGGGTCGCCCGAATCCCACCGATATCTAATTACAAAGGTCGTTGACCGGTGCTTTTCCCGAACAATTTTTATATCTCCAATCAATGATTAGGAATATCGAAAAGTTCAATTCCCTAATATTTATTGTTTACGTCGATAAATATTTTATTGCTTGGGAATTCTTGAATGTATCAAGTGTGTGTGTGTGCGAGTTAACATTCTACAGAGCTACAGGCTAACAATAAAAATAGTTTTGTAATGTGACTATAAGTATGTATACAATGTCAGTAGTTTACGCGAGTAGTACACACTTGATTAAAACTGTTTAACGGATTAAAACGCAATACATATTAGTTAAACTTATTTGAAAATTATTAGTTAATACGGATGACTCTCCCCGTAATCACGGCTGCTGCAAAGCTTCCGAAACGTCGGGCCGTAGTTAATATAATTTTCAAATAAGTTTCACAAATGTATATCGCGTTTTAAACCGTTAAAATATTTATCTAAATAAGTATTTTAATTCAACAATTTATACATATAACTCTGTGAGAGAACGTGACGAAGTAAAGGCAAATATAATATTTAATTAATTATATTTTTTGCGTAACATCCGCCACTGCCGCTAATTTCAGTCACAGTGTAAAATTTCGATGATTCTAGAACAATTGTATTAACATTATTCCCGTTACAGGTTCTTCTATTCGCCTTATTGGCTTTGGGTCAAGCAGCGCCTGCCCCTAGCGACATCTTGACGTACTCCGACGTCTATCCAGGCGTAGAGACCTACGCCAGTTACTCGGACGTGGTCCAGGGAGCGCCAATAATTTCCCTGCCCATCGTAGACACCGTTCCCGTGGTACAATATGGCTATGATCAAATTTTGGTTTAGCCCTTACGACTTATTAAGACTTTCTTTATAATATAGATTACAATTGACTAAATTATAAAGAAATTTAATAAATGTCTTACTATAGCTTTTAATTATAATTTATAGCAATAATTATTGTAACTAATTAAATTTATTACTACATTAAAAATGTGTTTGTTTTAATAACATATTAAGCTGTATGAATGCAACGAAGTTCCTTATTGAAAAAAATAGCAAAATATTTTGCTGTGCATGCCAATATGTACCAGCGCAGTAAGGCATGGCAAATGTTGTTCTGTCATATAAAATAAGGATATACAAACAATGCTAAGCAATTTCTACTTTAAAAAAGAAATACGTAATTACTTTAAATGTATAAAACTAATACTAATAAACTTAAGAAAATATATAAGGTTCTGTATGTTTGAACGCGCTAATCTCAGGAATACGTTCAAATTAAAAAATATAATTTTGTGTCGTTTGAACCATTTTTCGAAGAAAGGCTTTAAGTCTATAAATATAAGGGTGCGACAAATAGGAGAGAAGAAACAGATGGGACAATAGATAAATATCCATCTTTGTTGGTTTCCGATGCGATGCGAATCAAGATGGTCAAAAAATATGTTTCAAAAGAATTATTTTTCTTCAAATAATAAAAAAAATGTCCCGGAAAGCATCTTTTACATAAACTCAGAAGAACGACGGGACGCGGACGACGTCGTGTGTAACAGCTTGTTTTACCATGTACGTGAAAGATGAAGAGTTGTGAGTTGTGAACGACCGAAGAATTGGGATTGGTGAATGAGTAAAATTTCTTTATGTTTTTATTACTACATCATAAAACCACTCTAGGCTTGAGAGTTTTAACATTGGGGTATTCTATTTATGAATTTGACACATAAATGTGTAAACTCTATGATGAGACGATTTATTCTTCTTGTACCGTACTAAAAATGACCTTTATAATGACAGGCATCTGGCTTCAAAGTAGGCTTATCAGATATGGTCATAAACCATTTAGTACGGTCAACTAGATCATAATTACCATTGACTATTAATAAAACATATTTCTAGAAATAATCAAAGTACAAATAAGTAAACTTATTAATCAAACTTCGTAAGGATTCGTTGGACAAATACATTATTTCCTATCACCTCCTTAGGACTAGAATTACTTTCAAAGTTTCTCATTGCTACTATTAATATTATTAATTAAAATATCATAAAGACTAATATTAACATACCTTAATGCTGAGATTATTAAGGTTATCTAAAATTAATTCAGTATTAACCATTACAAGTTAAAAAATAATATCCCATACTGTCTGTAGTTTACACGAGTAGTACACATTTAAATAAACCACTTTAACGGTTTAAAACGCGATATATTTTAATTAAAAGTCTTCCCCTGACCATGGCTGCTGCAAAGCATCCGTAACGTCGGGCCGTAGTTAATAATAATGTTCAGACAAGCTTAACTAAAAATATAGCGTTTTAAACCTTTAAAGTATTTTATTTAAAAAGAGAGTTTAAAAATGAAAAATTCATAGTTTTAAAAATGTAGTTTAAATTACCAATTTTAACTAGTCAAATGAAATAAAACGCGATTAAGTCAGTTATATTATTTACGTCCCGTCAGAGCGTAGATATATTAAATTAGTTAAGGACACGGTAACTCAATTGGTTCGTGCAATAGCACGTAACGCAATAGATGCCGGTTCAAGAACGTGTCATAAAAAAAATGAAATCTAAAATTGATTTTTAAATTTATTAATCTTAAATATAAATTATGTTTAAACAAGTTAATGTATTTCTGTTCAATGTCCTTATCATTGTCCATTTCAGTTTCCACTACTCCGGCCTTTCTGGGAAAGGCTCTTTAATCTACTGAGCTGATCAAATGCGGGCTATAAGATTACAAGTTATAAATTTCTGTTTTGAAGTATGACCTGGGCCTTTATAATAGAAGCCTTTAAAGTGTTTATATCTATACTAATATATAAAGCTGAAGAGTTCTTTGTTTGTATGTTTAAGCCCGCTATTCTCATAAAGTACTGGTTCGAATTGAAAAATTATTTTTATGTCGGTTAGAGCATTTATTGAGAAAGGTTGCTATACAAAATAGCGCTGTGACCAATAGAAGCGAAAAAACAACGGGAAATATCGATAAAACGGTTCAAGATACCCAAAAAATATGTAGGAGATTTGCGAAAACCAAAATTGATACCCAACATTACTATTCTACGCGTACGAAGTCGTTGACTCAGCTATTACCTAATTTAAAAATTTATCGATTACAAACACGGCCCCAAACTTACTCATTGGAATTTGGGTAAAGAACACATACACTTGACTAACGCTGACCTAAAAACATAAGAATAAAGCAAAATAATGTTTAATATGGATCCCTCCAGACAAAATTAGTTTAATCCAGCCTAGAAATGCGCTCACCAATTCATATTTTTGAGGAACTCAAACTAAAATCTTTCAAATAAAATTCTAGCCCTACCTAACAAAAGTATAGGAAAGCCTGTCCTATGTATTTATTGTTATAATAACTATAATCCTTAAAGTGAATGGACCTTTATCAAGGAGACCAAGGTAAACACGAACAATCTTATCAATAACAGAACTTCGTCTAGTTTCAAATTAATATCTAAGGGAATAGAGTCTATATTGGACCATTTTTATATACTCGTGGCGCCTGCGCTACCCTTGCAGAATTTTCTTTCCGAGTATGATGACAAGCCAACGCCCTATTGCATAGTACCTGACGTCACAAAGGTATCTGGAAACCAGCTACAATTTCAGTATATAAGGTGAACATTACAGGAGACATGCACAGTTTCTCTCATAACCGATAGCAACACAGACCACGATGTTCAAGCTGGTGGTGTTGTCAGTTACCCTTGCTTTGAGTGCGGCCAATGGAATCGCTCCATGGGGTCTAGGCCTAGGATGGGGGGCGCATTTGGGTGCTCCACTAGCATCCTTAGTAGCTCCAGCAGCGATTGCAGCTCCAGCGGCGATCGGTCCCCTTGCCCTTGGCCACGGTGCCTACAACTACAGAGGACCTTTGTCACTGGCCCCCGGACAGCCCGCTAACATCTTGGCTGCTGATGGAAGACCTTTGGACACTCTTAGTGTCAACCTGGACCGTGCTGCGCACTACACCGCGAGGGCTGTAGACGGCGGTCATCTTCTCAAGAAGCGTTCCGTATTAGCACCAGCTGTGGCTTGGTCTCACGCTGCCCGTGTGGACTGGCCTGCTGCTCGCCTCATTGCCCCAGCTGTTGCCCCCCTTGGTGTTGCTCCAATTGCTCCTATCGCACCTTGGGGTTTAGGACACGCCGCACGTTGGGGACACGGTTGGTGAACAAATTCTGAACACAGTATTAGGCTATCAAAATTATAAATTGTACAGAGATATATTAAAGAGAGTTACATAAATTGATTTTTTTTTTATTTTCGATGGGGGATGACGACTTCCATCTAAAGTATCCGTTAAAGACATAATTAACTAATGCGCCTTAAAAAGCCTAATTTTTTATGAAAAAATAGAGTGAAATGATAAGAATAACTGCGTAAGTGCTTAAATCATGTAAACCAAATAGTTTGTAAAGTTATAATATTTTGAGCGCGTTTACGAAATTTGTCACAAAATCGTATTAATATTTTTGTGGTAACAAGCTATATACACAAACTTGAGATTTCAATGAAAGACGAGGGATGCATTCATAATTTGATAAATAAAAATCGAAAAAAATTTGATTTAAAAATTCGATATTTTTATTGTGAATTTATTTTTTCCTATAACTATGCAACTAACAACTTGCAGACTTGTGAACCGTTGTTAGTTTGATAAACGACAGAAGTCCATGACAGAAAGATGTTTGGATTGCATTGCGGAAAAAAGGGAAAACTTTTTTCAAAAACGTATGGAATATATTTCTTTTTTCTTGAACTCTACATAAACTTTATACAATTGTAGTGAAAAGGTATCGATGTTATAGCGCCAAACCGACCGTTGGATGCGGTGCAAGAAAAAAAATATTTTATACATTTTCTATTTAATTAGGTTTTTGTATAATTACGGGGAATCATAAACTATGTAGCTCATGGACAATCCTATAGTCGTTAAAGAGGTTTGAATTCAAAAAATAATAAAATTATTTCTATTAACGAGACAGAAAAACTTGTGGCGAATAATTTAAATAAATAGTTTTTACTCATTTTAAATTAGACGGTTAGTACTATGTCGTAATACATACAAAAAATAATAAAGACTACTTTTACCCGTCTTCTACACTAATGTTATGAAGCTGAAGAGTTTATTTATCGTTTGATCGCCCTAATCTGAGGAAGTACTGATTCGAATTGAAAAATTATTTTGTGTCGGTTAGATGTTTCGAGAAAACATTAAACTGCGACATATAGGAGCGAAGGAACAGAGGGAAATGTGGAAATTCATCTCTTCCTTCGTACCCAAGTACCCAAAATATGTATAAAAGAATTATTCTTTTTTTGAATAATCTAAAAAAATGTCTGCGACACTGTATGCCTATTTCGTAAGATAAACTCACATGAATCGTTTTGAGGTAATAAAATTTGGTGTAAATATAAAATATGGCAAAATAACCTTTGCTAGGTCAGCTAGTAATTTTATATGTTTGGGAGACACAGTTTACTTACAATTAATTATTTGTACAACGCTTCATTGCTTACAATAGAAATACTGACATTCTAATAATGTAGCACTAAAATGCATGGTTAATTTTCCGATACGACTAATTAGGTAAATGACATTGCATTTATAATCTGTTCAATAAAAACGAAGCAATTGCTAGGATTTTTATAAGTACTTACTAATTGTATTCTAACAACCTTAAAGTCCCATCGTTTTCCTACTCTAAAATAAAGTAGGTGTTGTATTTTTCAGTATATATGACAATAAGACATTTTTAGATCGATTCAACTTAGTATAAAAATCAATTTCTGTAGAAGCTTGAAGATTTGGTGTACACACGCTATGTGTCGCCATTGTAAATTCTACGACTTTTAATACAAACTTTGAAATCCTTAATTGAAACATAAACTTGTTTTGTATAACCAGTCATTAAAGGTTAGCTGCTTAAAACTGTAAGTGTGTCTTATTCTTTATCAAGAAATAAAAAAAGGATAATCTGTTTAAAACTTATATTTCTGTTTGTATGTACATCAGTTTTTAGGTTGTTTCAAATGTTTAATAGTAGTGGGCGAATGGGGCATATGAGTAGGGGCTAATCCGGGCAATGGGTGCAGTGTTGGCGTAGCTGTGAGCGACCAGTGGGGCACGGGCGACGGCGATGGGGCTGACGGCGGCAACGGGGGCTACGGGGGCGATGAAGGCAGCTGACCGTTTCTTCAGGATGTGAACTCCGTTGAGGGCTTTGGCGGTGTAGTGGGCGGCACGGTCGAGGTTGACGTCCAAGGTGTCCAGAGGCCTGCCGTCAGCGGCGAGGATGTTGGCAGGTTGGCCTGGAGCGAGGGATAGGGGACCACGGTAGTTCGATGGCTGAAGGTAGGAAGCGGCGTAAGCGAGATGAGCGTAGGGAGTGATGAGGGGAGCAGCGAACACTGACCGCTTCTTCAGCAAGTGGACGTCACCAGCAAGAGCCTTAGCGGTAAGGTGAGCCGACCGGTCCAAGTTTACGTCGAGGGTGTCCAAAGGCCTGCCGTCGGAGCCCAAAATGTTGGCGGGTTGGCCGGGAGCAAGGGACAGTGGTCCCCGGTAGTTGTAAGGCTGAAGGTAGGCCGCGGAGTAAGCCAACGGCGCGTACGGTGCCACGTAGCCAGCCCACAAGCCAGAGGCGGAGGCCGCCGCCATCATACAAGACAACACCACCAGCTTCATCATTTTGATAGGTTGGTCTGTGTTGCTATCGGTGCTCACACTGATACTGACTGAGGATTGCAATCGTCTTTTATACTTGCATCATAATTTAACTGGACGGGCGTCGCCGGAAAACATCGTTGACCATGAGAGGACTACTTTTGTTTCGATATGAAAGTATGTTGAATATGTATCAGGGCGTTTTTTGTTTTTCGTCACTCCTTATTTACGATGGCATATCTATAATGCTGTGACTCTCATATCATCTCCTTGTTTGTATATCGGTATGGGACTTAATTTCGGAGGTGGAAAATTTGATCTACATGCTTGCAAAAGAATCTTCGCCTAGTAGTATAGAAGAACACTGAGATGAAAAGGGTTGGCTTAGAATTAAGCTATTCGATAATATGTGCCATCCACAAACCCGCCAGCCAGTTATTTCAATAAAAACTGTTAAAAGTTAAAGATTTTTGGTTAAATATGTTTGTTTGAGTGTATTTTACCATTAGTTAAACCTTATTTGAAAAGGGGTAAACACTAAGTATTTCTTCTCTCTTTACACGAGTACAACCTGGATAGATTACATACGCCGTATACTTGGTCATAGCTCCAATATTCATAATCGTGTTTAAATTCTGCAACAAGGGTAACACGCTTTAATAAATGAATAATTCAAAAGCCTGTGTAGATCTACGTCAGTGGCACTTCTACATGAATCTTCAGCGACCTAAATATTGGTTAATAGCACGTGCCTTGGTTTTACTCTTTTACGTGCGATACATTATCAAGTTAACTTTTAGAACATTCTATTTTATGTCAATATTACTAAATGTCAACGCAATATAAAACTTGGACGACAAAAACAGAGTTTGTGTTAATTTTACTGAAAACAGTTATATAGTTTTGTTGAAATCCTTGTCGTAAACATCAACAAATATAATTTTTGCTTGAGTTTAAATCAAACAATTTCAACGGTTTAAAACTCGACATATATTAGGTAAACTCTTTTAGAAATTATATTTTAATTGCGGTCTATATATTTCGCGTTTTAAACGGTTCAAAGTGTTTTATTTAAAAGTATTCGCGTTACAAACAGTTCTTTGCTTAATCTGCTTTGCTGAGATTCTAATGAAAAATCATACGTTATTAAATAATACCCAGGCACTATTACAAGGTATAAAAAATTTATGGACGGCATAATATTTTGGGGGAATATATTTTTTTAAAATACATTTGATAATCTGGTGAACCGAAACGCGTATAAATTGGCTCCGAACGGCAATGTAAGACTATCATATCATAAGCCTATGGACATCAAAAGACTCCAAGCAAAAATAGCTCAAAACAATATATTTCACAAAACTATGAACGTAGTTCTGTGTTAAAAGCATGTTTTTTAAAATTTGGGGATCGCATAATTTTGATTATTCTTAACCCGAAGCTGGACCTGTAGCCAAATGGATATCGCCTAGCATTAGGTCCTAGGGAAACATAAAATTGTTTCGGTCGGGCAGGGCACAGAAGTCTGATCAACCTGTAAAAAGAACGGATCAGTGAAACGGACACAGAAATGTGTCCGCCCCATGTCCCACGAAGGGGAAACGGGCTTTCACTTTAATCCGAAGCAATAGGTTATTTGATTTAGTTATTATATTTAATCGTGTTCTAATCAGTTTCTTACTCTTAAGATATTATGTGTCGTATAAGTGATTCTGCTGCATTGTACGTGCAACGTATGTAAAACAAATATGACAAGGATACCCTATTTTGGAATAAATATTTCATTAATATCTATATTAAGTCCTTAGCAGGTTTTTTTTACAGTAGCATAGTTTGTGATACTAATTCATATGAATAATGAAGTAAAAAGTATTGCAACAGAGCGAATTCAAGGATATCCTGTATAGTTGAATATCTTGTTATAATGTTGACGTTGTTCAAGTATTCTTGTCTTGTAATTTGTCCCTAATCAATACGCAACTGACTATTATGAATTTTATGCGTTATAGTTAAACGCCCTCGCTAGCTAAATATTAAACGAATTGTTTAGCATTGCGTCAAAAAAGACAGATCCTGGATTCGAATCCCGGGGTGACCTTAAATCGTTTTCGCCTGGCAGGACGCCGAAAATAGTTTAACGACTTAAATACTGCCTGTAGTTTAGGGCAATAGTATACATTTAGAAAACACTTTAACGGTTTAAAACGCGATATATATTAGTTTAACTTATATAACAATTATTTTAATTACGTCATGACGTTTCGGATATTTTGCAGTAGCTGTGGTCACGGGCATACCTAGCTTGGCTAGGCATTATAGAAATTATTGTAGTATTCATGACGATATAAGAAAGATATTCGCAACGAACATTAAAGAGTTGTAATGAATATTGATATGTAATTGAAGGTTATGTTCTAGATTCCCTTTTGTCTGGCGAATTACGCCTAGATAGATTATTATCGGAAGACATATTTTATTACCATACAATTAGACTTAGTTGACAATACTAGATATATTATATATTTCGATCAAACAGCCAACACAAAGGAAAAAATTATCTTTGACGCTTGTTGGTGTAATGGTTATCAACGGGCTCGATCCCCGTCGGGTCCAACATTGTTCTAATTAATTTATAATTGAAACATGTTGGACTTCGTCGGGAAATCTGGATTAGGGTGATAGGAATATCGAAATTCCGCCCTGGTTACGAAACACCGTTCTCAGATGGCAGAGAGAATTTCCGATTATCCAAAGCCAAAATAATTCGATAGTGTGCATGTTTAGATGTTGTATGGGTAGGGTAATTCATTTGCCATCAAGTGAAGTCCGATGGAAGCTTTGGCTTCTGCCAGTCATATTTGGAATAGCTAAGGCCAGGAAATTATTTTTTCCTATTAATTGAAGTTTCATTTTAATATAATTAAGTTGTTTTACGGTGTCTTAATACGATACTTAACACTCGCTGTGTTTAACTAGTTTAAAATGGTTGTTAGATTTCTAAAATACAGAACTTTTGCCATCATCAGTGTTATATTTTAGTGTTATCTAGGTAATAAGATACACTCACTTCTTCTCGTATATCTTTTAAATACTAACAATAACGCTAACCTGAAGCCGGCCTTTAATTATAATATTAACTTATAAATGACTAAAACGTCATAGATTTGTAGATATCGGCATAATTACTATGTGTATACTTGAAATCTGGTATATGGTTAATTTACCATGGTGCTGTGGAGAAATGCTCTTGTTACAGATTTGTGACCTTTAGTTATCGACTGTGATGAACTGTCCACATCTCGATGGCCTTGTTAAGTGTAAATATCAACTTCCTGAACGACCTTCTTGCACCGGTTTACAATAAGCGCGCCCTTAGTTTTCGAGATAACTTTCTATAAATACGATGAGCCAAAATTGTTCAGTATCAGTTCCCTGCCAGAGCAACACAGACCAAGATGTTCAAATTGGTGGTGTTGTCCGCTCTCCTCGCTGCTGCGGTGGCTTCCCCTGGTGCCATCATCGCACCGTTCGCCCCGTTGACTTACACGTCGACCGTGGTCTCGCCAGCGACCACAACTATTTCAAAACAGGCCAGCAGTGTCATCCACCCATCTCCTCTCTACTCTTCGCAATGGGCGTACCCATACGCGCACTTCATTAAGAAGCGGTCAGCACCTTTCGTGGTCAGCCCCTACTTCACCCGGTCGTACGTCGCTCCCCTTCCATACACAGCGCCCATCAGCACGATTGCTGCAGCTCCATTGGCGACTACATACACGACACCCTTCATCCGGACGTCACCGATCTTCACTACAGCGCATTTGATCAAGAAACGCTCTGCGCCCCTGTTCGTGCCATCCACGTACTCCTACATCGCCCCTAGCTACGTCCATGCTCCAGTCGTATCCACGTACGCTACCCCCATTGTGTCGACTCCCGTGATCTCCCACGCTCCTCTTGCTTACTCTCACTTAATCAAGAAGCGGTCTGTCGCTCTCCCTTACTTCGCTCCGGCTGCTTACTCCCACTCGTCCAGAGTTGATTTCCGGACGACCCCCGCTGTATCAACTTACACCACCTACTCCGCTCCTCTCACTTACTCCAGCCCAATCTTCACGCACGTTTTGTAATCTAATTACAAGATCAAACTTAAACCCCAGTTAATCCAACTTTCCACAAAAAATAGTAATATTGATTTGTAAATACTATTAGACCATAATGTGTGAATAAAACAGTTGGAACTAGAACTGAATTTTATTAATAAACAAGGTAACGGTGCAAAGAAGCATTGCACGCAAGTAATACATAGGACATCAAACACATGTAAAGATTTAAAGAAAAAACATTATGCCGTAGTTTAAAATAACTTAATTAATATATTTGACGTTACATACCGTTATAAAATTAGTTTACAAAAAATATTAGAGGTACGCAAACATTGCATTAGAAATTTTGCAACAATATAGAACTATTTCAACTCTCGAAGGCTAATTAGGTATTGTCTTAATTTGATTTAGTTTTCAGTTCAGTTTAAATTGTCTATTAAAAGTATTTCATTGTTATGACTATTACAACATCAAAATTAAACTAAATTCAAATACATTTTAAATATTTCTTCACACTTTTAGTCAGTCTATGGTATTTGAATCTATCGCTTAAAATATTCAACCTACTCTAATCAGCGAGATGTCAAATGATAAGCTTTATTAGCATTTAACCTGAGAATAACAGTAAACGACAGCAGTTTATGCGACTAGTACACATAAAAAAAAACTTTAACGGTTTAAATTTCGATATAATATAGGTAAACTTTTTGAAAATTTCGTTTCGAATGCTTTGCAGCTGTAGTCTCCCCGTCGGCCCGTGGTTAAAATATATTTTCAAATAAGTTTAACTATCTCGTTTTATACCGTTAAACAGTGAACACATAATGTATATAAAAATATGATCATCCGCTGATTTTTATAAATTTTCTATTCCGTTGATTTTTTTATATACTTCTCTTCATCTTGATTAGTTTTACTCTGCACTTCGCTAAGTGATATAGGGTGTTCCAAAGCCCTCGCCAGGGGCAGGTTATGAAAAAACGTCAACGCTATAGGCGTTAACACCGCGTCCGTATATATGGTAGTGTCCACTCTCCGATTCGGCTGGATCTCCTTAAAATTACTTCCAAATACACCTGATGGGCTGTAGATTAGTGGCGTGACTGGAGTACGTTTTATATCAATCCTGGATTGGTGGGACACTGCGCTGGGGGCAGCAAAAATGAGCGGTAGTACTTGACACTGTGCGTACGTCAACACGTAAAGAAAAAACAATATTTGTCGTAGCATTTTGGATGATGCGACGCGGAATTGTGTTATGACATTCGAGGTCGTTGTTTTATAGGCGAATAACGGTAGATCGTTGCGTGAAGGCTGTTCGAGTTCTCGATCGGAGATGATAGGCCGTTGCATCACTGGGGCGACGACCTGTTTAATATGCACGCATGTTTATGAATGATTTATCTATTGACGCTCGTGGTTAACTATTTTCACCTGAGATCTTGTTCTAGATATACTCTGGCTAATGTGGCATGATAATTAATAAAATATGTAAGGGTATGTGCGTTTTCATACACAGTTTGAGTAGATGGAAATTATTAATATTGTATAAGTATTATAACTTATTGCTATTATACAAAAATTAAAAAAAAATATTCTTTTATATCTTTGCAAGTAATCTTTTGGGATGTGTATGGTGCTTTTATTATTTCGTTGAAAATGAGAATTTGCATACATAGACATAAAAACACATTAAGCATAATTAAAAAATTAAAGATATATCTAATAACGATCTAATTGTTACATGAGTTTTTAATTTGTGTTGTTGCTTAATACTTTAGTGAATGTGACATTATTATTAAAAATAAAGATCTATTTTAGATTAAAAAATTTAGGTAACACTGGCGGGATTGGAACCGACTACCAAATTTGTGTCTTGATTTGTGTCTAACCAATATAACGTCACTATCTGTGTAAGCGACATCGGCCGCAAGAATCGTTATTTTGGGCAACCAATTTCGTTTCCCGTTGTTTTTGCAAGTTGCTCTTAAAAGATAGGCATATAACGTCTCGGATTTTTTTAGATTAATTAAAAGAGGAATCATTCATATACATATTTTTTGGTTATCTTGAACCGTTTGCAGGGTACTCCTGTTCACTGTATCTTCGCTTGTATTAGTCACAGGGCGATGTTTTATAGTCCTTCCTCAATAAATGCTCTATTTTTTTAACTCGTAAACCTGTAGTAAAACCTCGTTTAAACCTGTAGTTCCTGTGATTATCGCGTTCCAACAAATAAACGAACTCTTCAACTTTATATATTAGTATGCATTATTTACAAGTGATACGTACTTTACTTATATCGGTAGGTATGTATAAAAATATTTACTAACTAATAGTTATTTAGTCAAAACCTTACTTTTTAATTTAACTTTATAATTTTAAACAATTAATACGTATAACGTTTTTTTGTTTACTCAATTATATCTGTAACATAAAAGGGTCACAGATTCTCCAAAACGGTTCATTCTCGTTTTAGAAACATCACAGCAGATTGTGCGTGGCGATGCTGTCTTTGATCAACGCTTGTAATACTAATATTAGTTACTTCCAATCAACCTAAAAAAACGCTGAATTCCGTCTTTTTGTCAACCGCTCAATAGCGTGACGAATCTATTATTAGGAACCACAGTCCTGTCACTCGAATCGCAAGTATAAGAGGGATTGACTTGCCATGGTAGCTTAGTCAGCGCCTTGATAATCTAAAGACGAAGAACGAGAGAGAAGAGAAATCAACATGATTAAGATTTTAATCATCTCTGTTTTCATAGCCTTCAGTCATGGTTACGCTGTGGGTCCAGTACATATCGCCGTTCCCTATGTGAATCACGGATACCATAGCCATAGACTTGGCTTCGGTTTTAGCCATGGTCTAACGCCCCATATAAAACCAATTGGTCATCACCTCTTCAAGAGATCACCGTTCATCGTGCAGCCATTTGATCATACAGGTCATGTGGCCGATATAGCTCCAATAGCTGTATCCCACCAAGCAAGGGTAGACTTCCACTCAAGGCCAGCAGTTGTGGTGCCGATCGTACCTGTTGTCAAAGAAGTGTCTCCTGTGGTCCAGGCTGCGCCAATATATAAGCCATTTGGACATTACGTAGGTGTTCATGGACTTATTCATCCACATTTACGCCACTAGTAACCGGAAAGTTGTTTAACCTTTTATATGTGGATATCGTTTGCGAAAATTTTGAATAAAGATATGTTAATTTAACAAACCGTATTTTTCGATAGTTTGATTGAAAGCGTGTATACCTACTACTTACTTAACGAGTATACATTTTTATTGGTAATAAAATAGTATTTTACATAAAACGAAAAAACATCAGAAGAAAAAACTCTGCTGTTATTAACTTATTTGGGTAATTACATATCTTTAGATTTGCCTAAATAAATATATAAGTATAAGAGGGAGTCGGTATACTACTTTTACTGGAGTACTTAATTTTCAGTTATAGTATTTAGACTCTAACAAAATATTTAAATGACGTGGATCTTTTAAAGATGTGTGTTTATATATTAAATGAAAAGTTATAAGTATAATAGAATTGAGAGTTTGTCAATAATTAAAAATGTGGTAAATAAAGATGTATTTGAATAGCACATTTTCACGGTTTAAAATTCGATAAATATTAGTTATTCTTGTAAATTATTTTTTATAATTAAATTCAAATAAGTTTAACTAATATATATCGCGTTTTATTTAAATGTATACGGCTCGTTTAAAATACAGACAGTATTTAAATAAAACACTTTAACGGTTTAAAACGCCATATATTAGTTAAACTTATTTGAAAATGATTTTTAACTTCGGCCCGACGTTTCGGATGCTTTGCAGCAGCCGTGGTCACGGGGAGACGTTAAAAATCATTTTCAAATAAGTTTAACTAATATATCGCGTTTTAAACCGTTAAAGTGTTTTATTTAAATGTGTACTACTCGCGTAAACTATAGACAGTATACAGACAGTATTTAAAGATGTATTACACACTCGTAAATATATCTAATATATTAGAGAGACTTGAACATGACATAATTGAAACTTAATAAAATTTAGAATAAATTCAAAACAGTTTATTGGCAGTCATTATTTACACAGCGATAATTTGTCAAATAGTTTCTACTGAATTCAATAAGGGTGGACGGAGAGTGCTCTTGGTACGACAGCGGCGTAGGGAGACACGACAGCGGCGGAGTAAGGAGACACGTAGGAAGCATGGACGTAAGGCGATGGGTAGGCAACTGGTGACACCACAGAACTGTAGGGAAGGACAGCAGCTACTGAACGCTTGGCAATGGAGTGTCCAGATAGAGCCTTGGCTTGGTAGTGAGCAGCGCGGGCAGCGACGACCTCAGGTGTGTCCAAAGGTACACCTTGGACGGCGTCCACAACTACAGCTGGGGAACCGGGGGCTTGCGATAGAGCTGGCACGACTGGAGCGTAAGCACCGTACACTGGCACAGCTGGGGATCCGTGGAGAACGCTGCTGCTGTACTGGGAGACGGAGCTGACGGCTGGTGAAACAGAGGTGTATGCTACTGGAGACACGTACGAAGTCGAGTAGGCCAATGGAGATGGCGCGCTGTAGGCCACTGGAGCCACATTGTAAGCCAATGGAGCTACCCAGCTAGGCTTGGCAGCAGCTGCTGCGAGCACGGAAAACAACACCACCAGCTTGTACATCGTGGTCTGTGTTGATCGACGGAATTAGATCAAGTGATATCAAACACATCGCGACGACACTTTATATAGTAGCGTCCCTTGCCTAATACATACATTAAAAATGCCACCGAATCACCTTCAAATGGTCGAGCCAAATATCAAGCAGGTAGCCTAATGTTTTTGTCGTCGGTATCAAACTCAATTGACCAGTATTTTTTGCGGAAGCGTTTGAAGTAAGTACTCGATTTACATGAATATGTATAAGGGTACCTATTTGATATTATTTGTACACGATAAACACTTTACATACATTTATCAAGATAATTAGTTTAATGTATTATATATTCAGGTAAAAGACTATTTTATCGATGAAGTTGTGGTAGAAAAGGGTAAGCGTGAAGACACAAACATGTGATTTTAAATGTACCTAAATTAGAATTGTTAATCCTTCAGGTGATGGTAGTTTACACTTTCTATTAATTTACTAGCCACCACCTTCACGCAGCATGAGTGGTAACATATTTAGAAGCACATTTAATCTTGTTCTTTATATAATTATTTATTTTAATAATACACAATATCTTCCCTTTAATTTAAGTATCTGTATCCAAAATAAGTATTCACTTACAAATTTTATCTTTGTTTACAAATTTAACGGATATATAAGTTAGTTATATATCAAAAAGAGAGGCAACGTTCCAAAGTAAAATAGTTTGAATAATCAACGCTCTATTACGGTAAAAGAAATCTAACGAAATTAAACTTATTTCTTCATTATACTTTGTTGCGTAAATGCAGAGTATATAAAATATTTCCCAGTTCACTCAACATCTAATGGACTAAGCAGGGTCGCACGTGTCGTACTAGACAATGCGTGTTTTGTCTCTGGCTCGTGTAGACTGCGTACCTGTGCTGGGCTAGACTCGGAGATGCAATATTAGATAATCTAAGACGCAATTCCTTTAGGAACTCGTAAAATAATATTAAACAATCCTTTGTAAAGGTATATAATTAAACTAGCTGACTTGGCAGACGTTTTATTGGTACGAAATTTGATTTATATACAAACGGTTCTTGCGAGTTAATCTAGAAAGACAGACATTTACTGTCATAGACGTTTTTTAGTTTATTAAAAGAAACATAATTATTTATACATATTTTTTTTTGGGTACATTGAACCATATTCGCAACGGAATCCCACAAAGATTTCCCGGTATTTTCTACATTTCCCTATGTTTCTTCGCTGATACTGTTCGCAGTCTGATTGTTTATAGCTTAAAGCCTTCTTCGATTTCGAGTTCGTGAGAGTAGCTAAAACATAGTATACCAAATGTATACGTTTCGTTCTAACTATGTGAAATTTCCTAAAATTGTAGCTAACTGTTTTGAGGGCTTTAACTTTTATTAAGTTTTTTTTTCAGTAAAGGTAATACAATCATTTTATTAATAAATCTATATTATTTGCTAGTTTATTCATGCATTGTCTGATGAGATGAATGCAGATTCAGATACCAAATACATGTATACGTAGCCACTTAACAAACTACGTAATGCGACCCAATTTGCTTGAAAGGGAGTCAAACATATTATAGACTGTATGAATTATCTAAAAGTTACACTTAAAAATCCGGGCTATTAGTGGTAGAGCTAATAAACCAATGTAGATTATTATTTTAGTTACATAGTTCTTTTTTTTAGTCGAAATCTAATAACCATAGATAAAATGGACAGGTATATAAATTAAATTTAAAATAACATGTAAGTCGAAATTGTTTTCTCCAAAAGACACTGACTGTAGAAGGACGCTCTAATAAGGTACCGTAATAAAAACATTTTTTAAATAGACATTTGTTTCATTATCACTCGAGTGTACAATTAAAAAATAAAGCTCATTTTAACGTTAATAAATTGTATAACTTTATTATGAAGTAAGTAGGTATATTAATGTAAATTATTAACTTAGGTAATCATAGAAAGATCAAATAAAAGCTTTCTTACTTTTGTTACAAAGGAAATATTTGCCAGTTATTCTCGACCATTCATAAAGAATTGATTCTCATTATTTTTGCTGTACATAATTCAATACTACCTATTATATTATTAAGTGCTGATTTTGTAATAGTAACTAATCGATTTTTTTAAGATGATACATATTGGGGTGGGTTACATATAATACACTTTACATTTTTATATTTCTTTATTATTACTATCCGGTATTTTTACATTTATCCTCATCCGTCTCTGAAACGAGGATACACCTCACTTTCGTGATGGTGCTCACAGCACTCTCGTGATGTAAGGAGCTGGTACGCCGTAAGATTGAACATGGGTCAAGGGGGCAGAATAGACAACGGGAGACGAAGCATATGCAGATACCACGTGAGAGGCGTATGGGGAGATCACTGGGGCGGCGACGAATTGTGCTGAACGTTTTTGGATGGAGTGTGATTCTTCTTGAGCTTTTGCTTCTAAGTGAGCCGCACGAGCTACAGCAACCTCAGGAGTTTCAGTGGGAGCAACGGGAAGATCGGCTGGTGCAACGGGAGCAACAGCGGGAGCGGCTACTGCCACAGGCCCGATCGCAGCGGTTCTGAAGATTGGGGCTACAGCAGCTACAGCGGATGGAGCGTAGACAGATGGGAAAGGAGTGTTGTACGCCCAGGGTGTAGCAAAACCGAAGGGAGCGGTGGCGACCGTGTTAATGATAGCTGGGGATGACTTAATGTCAACTCTGGATTGGCTTGAGACTGCTGCTGGAGCGACTGCAACTGGGGCAGCGAAAGCAGCGGGGGCGGCGAAAGCAGCGGGGGCAGAGTACGCTACTGGAGCAGCGTACGCGGCTGGGGCGACCACAGCTGGTTCAGCGACAACAGCGCGGGCCACTGGGGTAATGGTGTCAGAGATGACTGCCGGTGTTGACTTGATGTCCACCCGAGATTGGTGTGATACGGCAGCAGGCGCCACACCAACGACGGGAGCTGAGTAGCTGATCACTCCTGGTCCATAAACGAGGCCTGAGGGTGAGGCGGCGGCGAGCGCCATCACGGAAAGCAACACCACCAGCGAGTTCATCGTGGTCTGTGTTAGTTCAGGATTGAACGGCGAAGATAGACTGATGCTTTCTTTCAGTCGTCAGACGTATTTATAGTGATCAGGTTCCAAATGGATTAAAAGTCAAGTTCACCGCGTGGTTTACTCATCGCGTGAATGTTAATCTCGAATGCATATTATATGTGGTATATGTCGGGCAAACTAGTTTCAGAGTCATATGATAATCTTTGTTGATAAGCTTTCGATCACAGTTACTTTCCACAGCGTATTTTTTAGTTTTCTTGTAATCAGTACAGGAAAAAATGATATTGGGACAGGATAACAAGTACACAATAAAATCAAATTAACAAAAAAAGAAAATGCGTTGACTAACTGTGCCTGTGGCTTCATCCGCGTAGCATTCTTATTTTTGGCGTCAATATTTGCTTTTGCAAACCTATATTGTCTATATAAATTCTGGCTTATACCCATGACGTCGGCCGCGTCTCGTTCTTGCTAGGTTATCTCAAAGATATACGGTCGCGGACAGTTTTATTGATAATTTGAAGAAAAATCATCAATTCATACAAACAAGCAAGCAAACAGCTTTTAAATATTAGTATAGATTGATTTACTAACTTCGTTATCGTTTACTTGTTCATTCGTTGTATTCAATACTAAAAATTATTATTTTATTTGTGGTTTACGAGAGTAAGACAAGGTAAATTAACAGTTTAAAACGCGAACTAGATATTAAAAAATTGGTTGCTGTGAAGCACGTCAATTCGTAGTTTGTAATTTAGTAGGACTTAATATCATTGGCGTTTTGAACCGTTAATTCTTATATTCATTTACCGATAATATTACAACATACAACACCTAGGAAACCTGCAGAGAGATATTTTATTTATCGTTCTAAAGGAGTGCTGATAATAATCGTCGAAAAAATATAAAAAAAGGTGCCAGACTGCAAACTCGTTATTAACTTGGACTATTTTTGTGGCGGTGCTCCATAAAATGTTAAGGTTTTTACGCCACGGCCTTGAAGGCTTTCGTTCTGCGGACAGGGCGGTGACTGCAGCCTATTAATTGTATTTAATATATAGAGTAGTTACTGAGCGAGCTCCGAATTTCCTTAATATAGTTTTTTAGAGAGTAGGCGTTGGTTCCTAGAATTGATACAATCTGTGTTGTATATGTTATGTAGGCTTAATATAGCTATGTTGTTTTTGTTAAATACTTAAAAATGTTCATAAAATATACCTACCGTCTATCACTCTATAGTTTACAATATATAATTTAATTATATATTTAAATATACCTACGTTTTTCAAATATTTAATAATTGTTGTGCCTACTTTTAAACATTTTTATTGCTTTCATTTTATTTATTTATTCTTTATCTATAAACTATGGAGTGTAACGAGCGGCCTTATCCCTATTAAGCCATCTCTATCAGGAACCCTTCTCAGGAAAACTATGTAAAACTAATTAAAGTAGGGAAATGAGCAGGAGGTGCTAAACATAGAATCTAAATAAATAATGCGTATTTCTTATTATATTTATAAGTCAATTCTTAAAGGTACAAAAAATGTAAACACATTTGATGTCCTTTCCGTTTTTTTAACCTAAAAAGGAAAATAAAGATACTTTTTATACACAAACTGCGTACCACATCGAAGTATACCAATTGGTATATAATTAAATTGTATCGAACACCATATATGCGGTATGCGGAATATGTAGCACCATACATGGTTTTATACCAATCGTTATTCACCCACAGACAATACAAGAACAATCCACCTGTAGCAATAAGGCTTTCATTATGCATTTATTTCTCGGCATTAATAACACCCACTGCTATCAATCAACCGGTAAGAAAGGATATTAATTATTTATGTTCTCATTTGCTTTCAACGGGGCCTTATATTTTATACGGACTTGTTGCAATGATAACCATCCATGTTTCTAAATATTAAATAGGTGATAGGAATATCGAACCACCGTCCACAGATGAAAAGCCGTCAAGTGTCGTCGCGTTTTGTATGCAGTCTGTGGATTTACGAATATCTAAGGAGTAAAGAGGTAGACAGGGCATCTTTTTTACGTATGGCTGGGATATATCACCTATCAATCAACCCCATACTTGTCCGATCTCATAGAAAATCCTAAAAAAGAAAACAATGTAACTCTGGCTTATAGAACATACAACTGTCACAGGTTCGAACACTAGCACACAATTTTTTTATTTATTTTTGTGTTATTTATTTAATTATTTATTCCCAATTCCTAACGTACGGTATCTTGGGATGGACAAGTGTTCTTTTAATTAATAAACTATATTTATAAGTAAAACTATCAATTAAACTCTTGTGCTGGGACTCCAAAACGACCATTGTTAAATACTGTCTATAGTTTACGCGAGTAGTACACATTTAAATAAAACACTTTAACGGTTTAAAACGCGATATATTAGTTAAACTTATTTGAAAATGATTTTTAATTTCGGCCCGACGTTTCGGATGCTTTGCAGCAGCCGTGGTCACGGGGAGACTCCGTGTCTATTCTCGAGTCGATTTTAAATTCCTATAGTGCCATCATGTGCAACGTGCTGACCACGGCTGCTGAAAAGCATCCGAAACGTCGGGCCGAAGTTAAAAATCATTTTCAAATAAGTTTAACTAATATATCGCGTTTTAAACCGTTAAAGTGTTTTATTTAAACGACCATTGTTGCTTACCTATTAAGGGGTTATTTAATAAAACAAAGTATGGTAAAATATTCGGTCTTAAAATTTGTCCAAAGTAAACTTATGTTTGTATAAAAGGTTTTCGACCTTGAAAATCAACCGGATGTATCTAAATGGCCTATCATTTTGGAAGGAAAAGCAATTAAAATTATATAGGATTCTCGTAATCTTAATAACATTCAGTACTGTCCTGTACTTAACGTTTGTCGGCGATTAGAAATATCTTTGAGTGATTAACTATATTTCTTGTATGCAGTCTGTATTAACGCGTAATTGATCCGCTATAGGTGATAAATGTCGTAATTTATTATTGGCAACATAATACTTCACAAACATTAGAAAAGGAGGTAGCTAAATACTATCTGTATTTTACCGATCTTCTACCGAGAAGTACACATTTAAATAAGACTCTAACCAACCAGTTTCGCCAAATACCAACTTCGACGGTTGGCGCTACAGATGGCGCTGGCGTAGCAGATTTTACTTTGACATCAGAAACACCCTCCATATTTAGTCACCCCGACCATGGCTGTAAAGCATCCGATACATCGGGCCGTAGTTAAAATAATTTTAAACCGTTAAATTATATTTTCAAGTAGGTTAAATTACTTATTACTATTCACTTAAGACGATATTTTTGTTAATTTCAGTCGTTTAGCATCAACGCTAGACATAGTATAAGAGCAGTGTTATTTTTTTTAATAATTCAATTAATAATAATGAGGAATAGCAACTACGTTTTATTAAAAAATAAAAGCAAAGTGTTTAACAGTTCGTCTATCAGCCCTTCTCTTATTTGTTATTCAAAATGACAAATATCGTGTTTTAACCGAGTTTCATATAAATCTTTCGCTCAGTTTTTCTTCTACTATGTGTTATATTTTTATTGTACAATGTTTCTTTCGTAAATGTAGGTTATAAGTTTGTATTATAAAATTAATTGGTTTTCAGATTGCACTTGATAAATTAAGTATCTAAGTATAGTAAATATATATAAAATAAAATAACATTTTGCGCTACTAATAATATATTTAAGAGATAGAGTGAGATGTTAACACTTATGTTTTACAAAATAATACTTTGACTGTTGCTCTTGAAGACCCGGTGGTCTGGTCTTACAGGCCTAGGTGTTAGCGGCCTATTAGTTCAATATGGCTTCTTTACCAGCCATGTGCGAAAGGAGCGCCGTAGACTGGGGCATGCGCAGCAACGACTGGAGCATGGGCTACAGCGACAGCAGGAGTAGCGATCTAAAAAAAGTTATTTTCTAATTATATCTTTAATATCCCTTAAGGTCCTTTTAAACTGGTTGTGCATAAAAATTGATTTTAGATTGAATCAAAATTTACGACACGGGCAGGACTTGAACGGACATACGCAGCGTTCCTCTCGTGCGATGTAATTTCAACCTTAACGTCTTAAGCTTCAATGTCTAATGCTTTGAAGATTAAGAAAATCAGTGGAAATAAAATTACGGACTTTATTTAAAAATCGTAATAAAATATATATATTTTTCTAAAATCGATTTAATTTACATGATTCCATCATGTGCAATAACCCGTGGAATATAAGAAAGTTATCAAAGAATCTATTATTTATGTGGTTCTTGCTAAACGAAAATTCACTTACTCTGACGGAGTTAGCGTATGAGGTGGCAACAGGAACGGCAGTCCTGACAATTGGAGCGTGGACAACGGGTGCGCTGACAACAGGAGCTACACCGTAACCATGGCCCCAAGCAGACGCCAGAGGAGCACCCAACAGGCCTGGAGCGGCGGCGGCTACAGCCAAGAAAGCGGCGAATACGACCTGTTAATGAGAACAAATATATAAACTGTGGTTCTTCGGTTTTAAATATGTATCTATAAAGTCACCTTCCGCTGTCAGTATGCTAAAATTCTAAAAAAGGAATCGATTTAAATAAAAGATTTTAACGTTTTAAAACGCGATATATTTTAGTTAAAGTTGTTTGAAAGGTATTTTTGAATACGGCCCGACGTTTCGGATGCTTTGCAGCAGTCGTGGTCACAGGGTTTGTCTCCCTTAAAATATATCGCGTTTTAAAACGTTAAAGCGTTTTATTTGAATGTGTACTATAGATATGGATAAATATCAAAGAGGAAGGTTTGATTGTTTGACCGTCTCTGTAACTCTATGGTTAATGTTAGCAACATTAATAACATAAGTCAAAAGATCTCGGGTTCATTCGGGTAAACAATAAACGTTATTAAGCACAGTACGAAGTTTTATGTTACTCTATGGAACACCTCGACAGAAACGGGTACAGAAATGTGTCTGCTCATGGCCCACGTAACGGATATTTAATGCAACTTTAAACTGTACAAAGTCGAAATAAGTTAGTCCAAATGTCTACTTTACAATAGTTATACAAAATAGCAACTATTGTTACGAAACATTGTCAATTGAAATATATTTTTTGAAGTATTCATGTCATCGATTAATGATACATGTAACATAATAACCATATTAGGTGTTAAAGCAAACCACATTTGATTAAGCTCACACGCTTTTGTGTCATTCGATCCTAACACTGATCTTGTTCGCCAATGTTGTCATGTAGATCTTGATACGCGTTTTAGATAATGTGACTTACACTTGACACGACATTGTATGTGACATAGGAATTTCAAAATAGGATATAAAACATTATAGATAGAGCTCAGTAGTCGGTAAACTGAGTGAAATCCCAATTTGCCCTCAATCAGACGTATGTTTTATTGCTTGACTATATCTACGAGTACGAATACTTCAATGACCCATTATTTCTGTGTCCGTACGTGCTGATTTTTTTTTTTTAATACTGTCTATAGTTTACGCGAGTAGTACACATTTAAATAAAACACTTTAACGGTTTAAAACGCGAAATATTAGTTAAACTTATTTGAAAATGATATTTAACGTCGGCCCGACGTTTTGAATGCTTTGCAGTAGCCGTGGTCACGGGGAGACAAAGAAGTTTAACTAATATATCGCGTTTTAAACCGTTAAAGTGTTTTATTTAAATCTTTTTTGTTTTGCAGGGATTTGACTGGAGGATAAATTCCAACTGAATGTAAAGTTCGTTCACGATATAAATAATAAAAATAATTTAGTTCAAAATTTATTTCATAACAGTATATATATCTATATTTTCAAATATTTATTGTGGGATAATATTTAACTGATAGCAATACATACTTGATTGACAGCAAAAATAACTCACAAAAGTTTTCCAGACTAAAATAACTTTTTGGTAGCGTATTTGTCCTTTCTGTATAACTAAACATTTCTTTAGATTTAAAGGCCTACTTGGAATACTGTCGATATCATAATGTATCGCTGTTACGTGGTATAACTTAAAAATCAATATTTAATTACTAAATTTAAAATTAATTTAATGGCTTAGTGCCATTAAAACCCCTTCACTTACATACCATCATGAGGCAAATGATCTCTATTCTATTTGAAGAAGAAAAGGTCGACATTATCACGTCTGAATAATTTACTTGAAAAGACATTAAAATCTCTACCGGCTAGTTACAGCGACTGACCTCGAGAGGTCGTTGCCGTGTCTCAGAATGTCAAGTTCAATAAAAAAAGGTTTAATCGTATCGTGTAAAAATATACAGAGAGATCACTTTCACTTTTGCGAAGAATGATTGATGTGCGACGGAGAAAATTCGTCCACAATTCGGTAACGAAAATAAACAGAGTTCTGTGCGTTTACATTTGTCAAAATTCATAGGAAAATTGTAACATGGTGTTTTTTTATGGTAATGCATTGCTTTTGATCGTGCAGGGATAATTTTCGAGAAAATACGTTTTGAATTATGGATCGTTAAGTTTGGATTTATTAGGAAATATTGGCGCGGTAAGCCTATTTTATGTAGAACAGTCATTGCAGTCTAAAAACACAAGATGGCGCCAATAATGTCTAAGCCGTTTTGAAAAAAAAAAACTGAAAGAAGCCTAAGTAGATTTTTAATATACCTAATATTACTATAACTATTGATATATTGAATGTGATTATTATGAAAATAAATAAATTTTCTTACCAACTTGTACATTTTGATGTGGGGTGGGTTTGAAGTGAGCAAAGAAAAAGTTTAACTGAATGTGCTCTGGATATCAAATGTAGAGCTTTTATAGTGTTTAGCCACATGTTCGGGCCAAATCAGTCTAACCCTACCCAATACTGGGCCTAGGTCAACTATAACTGGACCTTAGATATGTGTGTACGGACAGCAAAACAATTTACCAAACATAATTTTAGATTTTATTAAAAACTACATTATACAAATACTAACTCCAGTATGTGCATAGTATAATATAAATCCAAGTAATCACATGTTTCCCTTAAGTATTTTACAAATAAGAAATGGATACTCATATAATTTGTTTACATAAACCACATCTTCAAATGTTAGGTATAAGGAATACCTCTCTAAATATTTTATAATGTTACCAATTCTCTGATAGTTACTACTACCAGATACAAACCATACAAGAAATATGTTAATTAAGAAATGTATATCGCTAGCCGTAATTATTTGTGTCTGCGTTGCAATTAATAAAAATGCTGTTTGCCTATATTTTAGGCAATAAAGATATTACTTAATGGTGCAATGTACATTCTACACATATATCTATCAGCCATTCAATATCGTGAATAAATAGCATTTCGGAACGTGGGTTGCCAGTAGTCTGTCTTTTATTTATACAATCTATAAAATGCCTGACTGACTAACACACTGCTAATCTACTGATTGTAAAGACTTTGAAGAGAGTGTTTGTAACACAAGTCTTCAGAAGTTGAAAGGATGTTTGGAAATTCCTAATGGTCCCATCTACGTTAAGATTTGCTTAAATATTATTAAAAAATATATTTCTTCCTTATATTCTCCCAAAATGCTAAAGTAAAACTTAAAATCACACATTTATCAATATTGTGCAAAGTGGATAAATCCATGATTGCCTGTATTAATATATAAAGTAGCAATGTTTATTGTTTATTACGTCAGATAATTATAACCTTCCATTGTAATTAACGTTGAAAGCTTGAAAAGTTGTTAAGTACAAGATTTTAGTATTGTTACTAACTGTTAAATTTGTATGTAAAATTTGTGAGGCAAGTTTTTATTCTAAATGTATTAATTTAAATAAAACATTAATTTATGTTAACGATGTCTCAGTACCTTTTTGACATAGTTAATAATATCAAAGCTTGACGTATGAGGAAGTTTTATAAAGGAAGTGTAATTCATGTCGTAAACAAAGTAACAAATATAAACAACATTTATGTTAACATTTCAATTGGGTAGTTTAACATGTTTTTATTTACATCTTATTCGTTTAATCGATTAGATAATTCTACACCGTGTTCTGACGATTTGATTTATAACGCAACTAAAATTAAAATAAGACCAATGTGTGGGAGGTAGACATACCTACATACACAACCAATGAAAAACATATTACGTAAGTGTCTACTATCAACAATCTAAGAAAAGTAAAACATTAAGTATTAGAAATAGAAGCTAATCTCATTCTATTTAAGTAAATCTTCATTTTGATAGTTGGAAATATTCCCATTGTACACATATCCTTGAATATACAGATTAAACTATAATCGAAATGAATAATATTTAATTACGAAGACGCGGGTGAATATCGAACCTACGGCTACAGACAATGTTTCATGTTGTAACTCTTACCAACCGATTTACCGTGTCAGGGTTTAAAATTAACTATATTAGTTTTTCTGCTATCTGTACTTGCATTTGTTACACGTATAACAAACTTACTTTAACTCCACATACAATATGACATTATGAACCGACAAGAACCGCACACACTAACTATTTTTGATATTTTTTACGGTATTTCTAAGCATAAACGCGACTTTTTTTATGCATTATGGTATTAATCTTTAGATTATATTTTATGCCAAAAAAGGTCGACAGCGCGTTTTAATTTGTTGTTATAGGCTTGGGTAGTTTTCAATTCTCATCAAGTTGTTGTCTTGTTGTTGTTGTTGTCTGTTGTCATCAGTTTTCTCATGCTTGTTTATCCTCCTCTGTCGACATACTAGCTAGAAAAAGCGATGACTATGAATTTAAACTTATCACAGTATCAATATTATTTAATCACAGTACATTCCGACTACAGCTGTTATCTTAGAAACTTATTTCTACATAGGATTTGCGAGTCTGTAATAACTAACACATTAAAAACAGTGCAAATAGATAGAGATATTGACAAGAAATATGGATATATGAAAAAGGTTTACAACCTAAGTTTAGTTAAAAGCACGGTTTAAATAAAACACTTTAACGGTTTTAAAACACGATATATATGGTTATTTGAAAGAAAAACTTACTTGAAAGTCTCCCCGTGACCACGGATGTTGCAAAGCATCCGAAACGTCGAAGCGAAGTTAAAAATAATTTTCAAATAAGTTTAAGTAATATATATCCCGTTTTAAACTGTTAAAGTGTTTTATTTAAATGTGTACTACTCGCGTAAACTAAAGACAGTATTTAATACACGGTTTTAAATATTTGTAAATTAATATTCTTTCGCAAGAAGAAATATAGCTTGCAGTAAGTATTCAGTTAGTTTTTCATTTTAACTCAATTTTGCAACCTTCCCTCAGCTTCCTAGCAATAGACTTTTGGCATTTATAGAAGACCAGATCCTGAAATTACTTATATTCAAATCCCTGATTTTTCAGTACCTACCAAATATTAAAAAAACAGATTTCATGAAAATGGAAAGGCATTGACTTTTAATGTTTTCTGTTACAAAACTTCGATATTCATTTGTTCGATCTGAATTGAATTTGTCGAAAGGACCAAGTGAGCCGTGTGAAGATTTATTTTGTACGTTATTTACTTCATAATCCCTTTATTTCCACGACAACGTTTCTTCTTCGTTTCGATGATGATTTATTGTCCTATGACAACGGATACACGGTCGTTGACTTCGGAATTTCCGATCTTGCTTTTTCATAAAACTTATTTTGTAAGGGAATTAAGATCTAACGTGCAATCGTTTGATCACTGTTTTAATGTAATAATGATTAGACTTTACTATCCTGTGTTTTTTTCTGGATACGACACAGTGCTGTTGTGATTAACGCAATGCTAGTCAATGCGTTTATCTATTTACCCAGAAAGACATCAGAATTAGGTTCTAAAATAATAAGTACTAAGTATGTCTGTTCGTGACAAATTTCATTACAGTTGGAAACTATACTATATAACGCTGAAGAGTTTGTTTGTTTGAACTCACTAGTTTAAGGAAATAATGGTTCGAATTGGAAAATTCTTTACGCTATAAAACAGTGCGCTGTGACCAATAGAAGCGCAGAAACAGCGGGAAACGTGGAAAATATTATTCAACTTTGAGGGTTTAGATGCTTGTTACGCTATGAAAATGATACAAGATACCAAAAATCATATATGATTAAGAGTGATTCCTCTTTGAAAGATCGAAAAAAAGCCAGCGATACTATATGCCTCTTATGATTAACTTTGAAGAACGACGGCACGCGACCAACGTCGTGGGTAATAGCTTAAATTTTTTCAAGAAAAATTGGGTGCCCTAAATTTTTCTACGCGGACACACACTCTACACAGCTAGTAACTAAATAAATTCTTTAACCTTTGTATTTTTCTAAACACTGGGTAGTCACAGTATATCTGCAAACAGTGAATTTCCGTCAAATCGTTATGTAGAACGATATGTTAAATGGTATAATTTTCTATCGATTGATGTAATTATTTCTTGTCCGTAAGGTTTAAATGTATTATGTAGGCTTGACATTCAATACTGGGTCAGTAGTTATTTATTGGCATTGAATGACTCGTAATAGCTTTAGGTAGGTATGAAAAACCTTTTCCATAGACATATAGTGTTTTTATTAACTTCTCTTCGGGCTCGATTCTCCAAAACCTTCGCTAAATGAGTACTTTTTGAGTTTTTATTCTAGACGAATATTACGAACTACTAGTACGAATTGATTTTTTTTTTGTGTTGTATAGAACATTTATGGAGGCTATAAAAATAGGCAGCCACCAATAGAAAAAAACCGTGGTAAATGTAGAAAAAACGTTGTTTGCCCTGCAAAAACGGTTCAAGATAGCCAAAAAATATGTATGAAATAATCTTTTTTTTTCTTTAAATAGTCTAAAAAATTGTCCGCGACAGTATAATATGTCTATGTTTCAAGATTAACTCGAAAGAACCGTTTTTATCCTAGTCAAATTTCTTCATATCTAGTCAGCTAGTTCATTTCTAATGACTGAAAAACCAATCCTAAACACGGTCGAAAGTGTAGCACTTTTATTTTAGAAAAATCTAAGGAATATAAAACAACTGCCTAAAATTTATGAATTTATTCGTATAATTACTTTGTACACATCATTCTAATACGTCTTTTTGAGCAAGTCACTAGTCAATGAGCGCGACAAATTCTTTTATAGGTAGTAGGGGGAAGCTACGTATCTTGCGTAGGGTGAAGCGGGGGCAACTAATGGGGCAGGGGCAGCGGCCACGTACGGTGAAGGTGCAGCAGCAACATACGGCGATGGTGCAGCAACATATGGTGAAGCAACTACAGGCGCATTAGCAAACACTGGGGCAGCTACCGCATGGTTTACGGAATGGGCAGAGTACGAGCTGGCGTATGGGGCAACGGCATATGCTGCAGCCGGAGCCACTAGGGCAGCTGGGGCAGCAGCGAGCGGCACTACACCAGCGGAGGCGGCGGCGGCGACGGCAAGGATAACCTGTGTTACAAAACTTTATTTAATATAAGAAAATCGGAAATCTACAGCCTGAAACCGACACACGATTAAACTTTAGGTTTTTTCATTTGTAGACGATGGTTCGCCAGGTATCTAGATTTCCAGACAAAGTTCAACATGTTTTAGAAAAGTTATAAGTTGTAAAATTATAAATATGTTGGTCCTACTGGGGACCGAACTCCGAACCCGAAAAACCAACAAACCCGTTGTGTTTACCTTACCCCAGCTAAGGAACACACCCCTTAATCTTTATAAACTTAAGCTGTTACCCACGATGTCGGTCGCGTCCGTTCCTGTCGTTCTTGCAAGTTAAACTTAAAAGGTAGATATTTAGTGTCACGTTAGATCATTTAAAGAGAAATGATTCTTTTACACATTATTATTGGGATTCTTAAACAGTTTTTGCGTACGCCTCAGAAATCCATGATGATGAATAATTTTCCCAATTTATTCCACATTTCTCGCTGTATCTTCGCTTATATTCGTCACAGGGCGAAAAATATTTTTTTTTTAGAACCGTAGTTACTGAGATTATCGCGTTCAAACCAACAAACTCTTCAGCTTTATACATTAGTATAGCTTATATTGTAATATCTAAAATTCTTGAACACTCACAAAGAATTTGGCGATCATTTTGTTTAGTGTAGTGACTGCTCACAAGTGTTGTACGTAAAAGAATCTAATTGACTGTGTCGTCTTCAGGTTAGCCTTACAATATATACCGTTTGGTTATTTCATTGAGCAATGGTACGGTGAAGGAATACATTTGGTTCTATTATACGCAAAGCAATCCGCTGGCATCGTGCGTTTGACCGGGACGAGCGTCGCATTTCAATTTGGAGTCAAGACGCGTCGGTTTCACTGGACCTTATGTAATTATCGAAATGGATAATTTCCGGGATCTACCATTTTTAAAGACGATAAATTCGTAAAGTGATATGTAACTAATCTATACTAATATTGCTGAAGAGTTAGTATGAGCGCGATAATCTCAGATTCTACTTATTTGAAGCGAACAATTATTTTGTGTTAAGTAGCTCTCAATCAAGGAAGGCTTAGGCAAGAAGCTTAAAACATCAGGCTGCGATTATTACGAGCGAAGTTCTATTCCTTCGAATGTGGAAAAAAATCGGTGAAAATTATTCACCTGAGTGCGCTGCCTAAACAATTCAAGAAGCCAAAAAACTATGTATTAGAAAGAGATAAAGAATGATTCTTGTTGAAAGTATCTACAAAATGTCGTAGTTCTTACATGATCTGAAGAATTGTAGGAGGAGGTGTGCAAAAATGTTGATGCCTACAATAACTATTTCACGCGGATAATGTCGCGGACACAGTTTAATGAAACACTTTTAATGTTTTAAAATGTGTTTTTTTTAATTCTACGCCTGATTTTCGATTTAACTTCTAATATTTTTGAACCCTAGTCAGGAAAATAAAAATAAACTCGTATATGCTATATTACCGTTTAAAATAGTTGCTTTTTAGTATCATTTTTGAAGTGAAACTCCGGCCCCGTGGGCAAACACATTTCTGTGGATTGACTGATCGGTTCTTTTACAAGACTATGATCGTAATTTATGATTATGATTAAGATTTATATTTCTTTTCGTAATATATTAATATAAGGATGTGTGACTGGTTTCCGATTAACATTATTATAACCCCGTATCACCACATTACAGAGGGAATATTGGTATCTCATTAGTTCTAATAAGAGATACCCCATATATGCCCCAGTTTATTGCTGAACCAACTTTAGCCTAGATAAAATAAAACAGTCCCAAAATATACGTACATATACTTATACAGGATTAGAAATTATGTGTTGCCTGATTTGATTATTGATTAAAAGTAAATTTAAATTTAACCGAAAGATTTAGACCATGCAGTGAATTTTGACGAAGAGTTGCAGAAATTTCACATTTATTATCCGTCAATATGCTCCATTTCTCCAAGCACGCCTTCGAGAATCCCAAATGACCGAAGCGATGCGTCAAATGTTTTTTTTTAATCGTACGTAATCTGAATGGTAAAAACGATCATATAAAAGGCTTTACTTTTTCCTTTTCGTCACACAGCACATTCTTTTCTTGTTGAGGAAGGTTCTAACACAAGCAAAATGCATTCATACAAATCTGTAAGTACGAATATAATAAGTTACGTTGCAATAGACAATATAATAACCTCTTATGACCACCATTTAAAACGTCGGGTCAAAGCTAATATCTCTAACGTTTTGAACCGTTAAAAGTGTTTCAATTCATTTTTCGAATCAGATAAAGTGCGGACAATACTACATCATTATCATCAATGCCTGTATGGCCTCTTGTGGGTTCTCCTCTAGTTGCTTTCCAGTTCTTTCCAGTTCTGGACGCCCAAGCTTTCCAGGTCCTTAGCGACTCGAACCCATCACGCGGTTCCACGGTTTTCCTTGCTTTCGTTTAGAGACAAATATTCTTAAACAGGGTGAGAGTACTGCGAAGACCCAGAAAATTTGTGTCCTTTCAGGCTTTCAATGGCAATCAAACTTTGGTGCTCTTTTATCCGCCATTCTGTGCACATACAGACAATACTCACAATGTTTATTAAGATTATTAGAGACATTCGTATGTCATTTAAATACTATTTCCTTTTGGTTGCTTGATAATGTATTTTTTATCGATACCATATTGTTTTCAGATCGTACTCATCGCTGCTTTAGCATCAACCATCGAAGCCAGTGGCTTAGTCGGAGTTGCACCGGCTCCAGCACCTTTAGTAGCATCTGCTCCTTTATTAGCTCCAGCACACGTCGGATATGCTCACGCAGTCCCCGACAATGTCCCACCATACGCATCTCAAATCAACATCGAGAGCCGAGCTGTTAATCTACCAGCACCATACGCATCACTAGTTGCTGCTCCATCTGTTTACTCCGCCCCGTACGCTTCTCCCTATGCATTCCCTAGCCCCTTGAGCCCCTATGCCGCTCCTTATCCTTATGCTGCAGCTCCTCTAATCCGGTCCCCATTCGGCTTAGCCCCAGCTTTTGTACGATAGATATAGAGAAATGCCGCCCTTCCTGAAAGACTTGTGAATAAATTAAGTTTTGTATCATAATAAATGACATTTAATATTTTATTCTTCTGTTTTCTTTGCGTTTGTTGGTTGTGGGTAGTGTCGAAGTGACGCAAAATCAATATATCCAATTTAACTTTGACAATTTTATGAACTTCCACAAATGTTTATTTCAACAACTGTTGGGTCATTTGACATAAACTTTTCGTTACTTGATTTAATAAAACAGTATTTTTTTCAATTTAACATAAAGAAGTAGATTAATTTGGTATTTCACAATGTTATGTGAATACTGATTTCGTTCACATTTCTCACAAGTTTTGTAAATCAGGATATCTTTTAGAAATTCGACCAACTAAAATGTGGATTTCGGCCGGACGTGTAGTTCTATGACTAATAATAACAAGTTTATCTTATTGATTTTGTTTCAACGTCTTTCTTTAAATGTTTAATAACAAGTTTTACAATAACTCCACTTAAATAATTTTTAAGAACTGAAAAGTGGTTTAAGTTTAATTAACATGGTAAAGTTAATATCAAGAATAACAGTATATACAAAATACATAGAACGGGACAGACTGATATTATTTTTACAAAGTTATTGAAAATAAAACTGTAAAAAAGGTATCCCGTTTTCCCCATTGAAGTAGGGGGGCAATACATTGATAATAGATTTATTTAATGCCACTAAATAAAGGGAGTTCATTAGACTTCTGTTCTGCCCTATCCAACCGGAACAATTTATTATTCTCGATCTCGATTCAGCCGTTCAGTGTCCACTGCTGGACATAGGCCTCACCCATAGACTTCCAGTACGACCGGTCGTTCGCTAGTTGCATCCAGCGTTTCCCTGCTACCTACCCTTTATTATTCTAGTGTATGATTAATATTATTATTATTTATTTAATCTGTAATATTAACGCTAAGTATTAATTATATTTGTTTATATTTTTATCTTGCAGAACATTTAAACCCTTTCCAAAATGTTGTATTCTTTAACGGGAAAGGATAAATAACCTCAAAACAATAGCTTTAAAAAATCTGTTATTTATTTTGGTATAAAAACAGCCTCATTATAAAAATAGCTAGTCGCTATTATGCTATATACAATTTTTTTTTAATAAATAGCTAAGACTACGAATTTACTTCCACGCGTACTGTTTCACTACTGGTGCGGGTAAAACCGGCGCTGGTATAGCTGGTGCTGGTAAGACGGGAGCACCGAAGGAGTAGGGATATGCCCTAGCAAAGGCAACAGATGGTGCAGGCCCAATAACAGGTGCTGGGGCTAAAGCTGGAGCCACTGGCCTGATGATAGGTGCAAACGGAGCGGGTATTGGTAAAGCTCTTGGGAAGACTGGTGCAGCAATAGCTGGCGCAAATCGTGGGTAAGCAGAAGCAAATACCGGTGCGGGTGCTACTGAAAAAGCTGGAGCAGGGTATACTGGGGGAGGCAGTGGGGCTGGGGCAACGGCTGGTAAAGGTGCTGGCAATACTGGAGCTGGGGCAACTTGAAGAGGTAAAGGTGGAGGCAATATCGGTGCTGCGGCTAGCGAAGAAGCCACCGCCGGAAATCCTGGTGATATCGCGTGGATCGATCGCACTGGGGTTGGAAAGCTGTAGAATGGGGCGTATCGCACGATCGGGAATGACTTCACCGCTGCTACATGTGCGTGAGGTAGTAGTCCAAGGCCGCTAGCTTTACAGCTAGCTATGATGGCGAAGAGACAAAGGACCTGCAAAAAAAGTGTTGATTAAAGTTTAAGTCATTACGATGAGCGTGTGTTAGCGAGAATCAGAAGACTTATACAAAATTTTTAATCTTTTGTCACACGATAACGAAAAGTGCGGAGTTATAATTTTGACGGTTTTATATTCCAGTCTAGAGATTAAAATACTGAACTGATTTGAATGAAGAAAGTACCAGAAATTCTGTATACCGGTGCGATTGGATAAAATAGATTGAAGCGCGGTAAGTATCGAAAGAAAGATAATCGTTTAAAAGTATCATATTGTTTTAACAAAAAATATATTAAAAGTTATTTGTGCAGTGGTGTTTGGTGTTATAGTAAAAAAAAAACACTTTTAACGGTTTCAAAAGCGAAATATATAAGTAACACACGTTTGTAACCATTAAAAATGTTTCTATTTAAATGTGTACCACTCATGTAAACTACTGGTTATCAATTTATTTATTGTGTTCTTTCACTTTGACACTTACTGATTTCGTAAACGACATTGTTTGATACACAACTCGATTAGTGAAGAGGTTATGGGGAAGTATATTAATTCATGTGACAGGAGTCGTTATATAGTAAGAACTGATGCAAGCCGTGTTTCTATATCGGTGGTAGGTAGTTTCACTTTTCATCGGCAGGACATGTGCATGCCGAATGAGGTGACGATGCGGACATTAACGATTACCGAACACGTCTAGCACTTGACCATTGATGGGGTCTTTACATAATTTAAGTGGATTTGTAGGTTGTAAGGGAGAGTTGCGTAATCTGGGATTACTATTGCATTACTATGAATGACTGGCTATATCTAAATTTTAAATTTTTCTGAACATGGTATGGTGATAGTAGGAATGTAGTAACAAATACACGAACAATATCGAAATCATTATTATGCACCAAAAATAACTAAGCTATTTGCTGAAAGCAATACAAAATGCATAATAAAACATTAGTAGACAAAACTTATACCTCTCTACCCTGAATGCACTGTTACGATATAAAAAGATTAAATATTGTACACAAATATTTTAGTACTCTAGTTCGTATAAAAGAAATCATGTGTCTAGCTTGTCTCTTGATTTCGTAAAAGAAATAACAAAAATATTCCCTAATTCAGTCGTCTTTAGTCACCTAATTTTATTGTTCTATAAATTATAGAAAACCTAAGTTTGATATTGTCGATAGATATTGAAGAACAAATAGGATTGTTTCTAAATATTTTTTTTAATAACACTGCGTTCGACCGCGACTCTTTTAATTTGAAATAATACCGCATATATTTTTATCCTTTAGCTAAAGTTTTTTTTGAATAAATACAGACATTAATAAAATCAATTATTTAATGTCATAATATTGGCATGCCTATCATCAATATTTTAAAATAAAACAGTATTTTATACGAACTATTAAATATGATGTCTTTTATATTCTATCTTACTTCTGATTAAAATATGTGTAATCCGCAAGAATGTGTGACTGCATAAATATAAAAGTTTGAACCTGGAAAATTACGCAAATCTCGAGGAACGTAAAGAAAATTACAATATAATGATTAGTAATACAAAAATAAGACCTCAATTTTTAACATACTGTACAGAAATCGTTAAGACGGAACGACAGAACAGCAAAGAAATGTGCATTCAACTCAATGTAATATAAAGGTCTTAATTTAAAAAGTTTATAACTAAACTAATTTTTATCCATTCAAATATTTGTTTAAAACCCGTTAGTAATGGGAACCTAAATAGTAAACACATAAATAACCACAATAGAAAAATAAGTATATTCTTGCGCAACAATACGCTGAGCCGAGTTATATCGCAAAAGAGATTTTCGACTGTTGCTGTGTCGATACAATATCTATTAATAAACAACAAAGGACCCTATTTTCGATAAAGCGTTCTTTTGTGCTGCTAAAACGCTGTAAGGATTCCTAATTTTAAGTGTTCGTATGAATCATAAATAATGTTATTTGTAGCATTTAATTCGTGTACCACTTGTATTGTAGGTGTAAACCCTGCATGTATATCGCTGAAAAGAATATTTTTAGCATCCCCCTTCTACACAACCATTCCCCCTCTTCCCTCTCCAATACCAATCGTTATAGGGACAAATTATTAAGAGTGAAAATAATGAGAGATATATATCGCTATTTAAACAGTTGAAGTACACATTTAAATAAAACATCAAATGTGGATTGCTCGCGTAAACTATAGACAGTATTTAAGAATACCACTCTTGACGTAAGTAATTTATTTTAACCTATTCTAGGTTGTAAAAAGGTGTAAGATAGAGACAATAGCACGATCTATGGTTTTTTTTCGTTTCATTACGATAAATATAATTATGTGCTCAGAATAACTATCAGATAGTCATTAGCCCTAAGAGCTTAAAAAAATTTTTAATGTATACACATCTTTCTTAGCTCTAAAGAAGCACTCAAAAAAAAACAAATTAAGTTAGATTTATCTTCTATTAGACTACATAGAGGAAATAATTTAGTAATTTCAATCTTTAATTAGTAAAAAGATGAAAGAATACAAAGTAAATAATTTGTTCGTGATTCGAAATTAGGGTCTTTCAAGTCCGATGCAACTATTTTTGCAAGCTATCTAATATTTGCAAAATGGGCGCGGATTCGATCCCCATCGGCTCCAATATGTTATAAGTAATTTATTAAATTTTTGTATCATGTTGGGCTTCGTCTGGAAATCTGTATATTAAATGGTTGTAATATCGTGATTTCGTCCGGGAAACAGATGACAGATCACAGATGAAAAATCCTTTAAGTTTAATTGTGTTTTGATTTTAGTCTGTGGTTCTACCATGATTATGTACTGAAGTACGTTAGCGCATCTTGTCGCAGTGTACTCCACACTTGTCTGACCGTCTCTTTTATACAAAATACATATTACAATTGTGGTATAGAGCAGCAAATGAAGCAAAGTGGATGTTTAAATTTATATAAACAGAAATATTACTTACGCATTGATAGTAAAGTAAGTAAGGATTCTAACGTGACCGCTCTCGTTATGCGACGGCTGTGGAAAAGACGCGATATCTGAAACGTGACTCAACTGTTTACTACTGACCCTACTGTTTGTTTAATAACCTGTAGCTTTTACAGATTCCTAGACTACTCCTTCATTATATAACTTACTAGCTGAGCTGGCAATCGTTCTTTTGTCATACAAAGTATTTTGTCAAAATTTTATTCCCACAAAAACGGTAGGTAATTGTGAGTTAATCTTAGATGATAGACATGTATTGTCCCGAACATTTTTTTACACTATTCAAACAAGAATACCTCTTTTAAATAAAACACCTTAACGCTTTAAAATGCGATATACATTAGTTAAACTTGTTTGACAATTATTTTAACTACGGCCCGACGTTTCGGATGCTTTGCAGCAGTCGTGGTCACGGGGAGGCCGTAGTTAAAACAACTGTCAAACAAGTTTAACTGTTTAATACGCGATATTTAACCGTTTAAACCGTATTAACCCGTTAAAGTACACATTTAAATAAAACATTAAATGTGGACTTCTTGCGTAAACTACATATATATATTTTTTATTTTTTTCAGAGTAGATATTTTTCGTTTCGTTGAAATAAACATTTGAACTTAACAGAGTAAAATTAAAAACAAAAAATAAATAGGAGGAACGCTTTTAATCATATAAACAGTCTTTACTAGAAGGCGACAATTGGTGCTGGATTAGCCACATAAGATGCAGGCACTGCATATGGTGCTGGAGCAATTAATCTTGCGGGCGCAGGGTAATATGCAGCGGATGCAACCAAGGGTGCTGTTACCAGGCCATTGTAATTCCTTGCAATGAACTGAGAGCTGGACGCAGTTACAATTGGGGCGGGAGCAACCGCTGGTGCCGCCACCAAAGGCGCTGCAGCTACCACTGATGCTGGAGAAACTAAAGCTGGCACGCTTGGCTTGGCGGTAGCAAAGGCAAGGGCAGCGAGAAAGAAAACCTGTAAATGTAACAATTTAATGTAAGTTTTCCCGTTTCCTATTTATTACTAAGAGTAGTAAAGTTACATATTCCGTAGTTCAGATCATTTTCATTAACTAGTAGATATTTAGCTTTCTTTTGAGTTTCAGGAATCGAACCTGGTATATCCCGTAATATTGAGCCACGGATTCAGTTGCTTCCAATTTTATACAGTTTAAATAGTGAAGCGAATTTTTCGCAAACAAAGTTGTTACCTTTCCAATCATTTTGGCAACGGCTGATCGAGTGATGTGCAGTTTGGTGACATTAGCCTTCTTTTATACGAATAATGCTAGAATCACCTTGCGTGTTTCGTCACAAATGACTTACTTGGACTCTGAGCACGCATTGAGGGCGCACGCCCGACGTATGGGTATTACGGATAACTGGATACGTCAATATTGCATTTCGGTAATGTAGGGCACATTCAACTACTATTAATATTAATGAAAAGGAATATCTGTTCTATGGAAATATAACAAATTTACATACCAGTGTTTATCTGTATTGTGTTTTAAGTTTATATTTCTATACAGTAATGACAAGTGTTCTTTTTTTAATACAATCTTTGTGCCGCAAAGACGGACATCGGTATTTGCATTCTTTAACACCTACAGCAATAACAGAAGTTTTTTATTTACTACAATTAATAAAAAAAGAACCAAGTTCGGTTAGGATTGGTTCTGCTTTTATGAACTTTTAATTTAATCTACCCTCATTTTTTTATATATATCAATAAGCTATATAACCCTATAATAGCTTATATTTTCAGTTTTTTAAATAATTTTAGTCTCCATAGAAATATTATTTTTGACACATGCTTTTACTATTGGCGCCATTAATAACCTTTTGGAGATTGGTCCATGCAAACCAGCCAGTATTATGTACTTAAAGTCAACATAAACAAATAGACAATGAATATAGCATTAGAACTACATAATGTGACTTTCTAACCGACTTTGAATACAATAAGTTTACAGCATATGTTCGGACTAAAACATTGGAAATATTTACATAAATATCATCGTGATATTTTAGAAATCTCCAAAATTACATAAAGCTTATGTTTTCCTCGCGTATTTATTTAAATAATTTTGTTTGTGATATAAGACAAATTGTTAAATTATATACTGTTACACAAATAGCATAGGATTTAGTTTAGGAACGATCGACCATATTTAACAGTTAGTAACTTAGGTCAAGTTAATTGTGTTACATTATACCTATTTAGTATGTACTATCAGTAACACCAAGATGATATTTAGGTCACTAAAAGTCAATATTACATATTATATTTAATGGCATCGAAGGTTTCAGAAAAGGAATTTTCCAATTGAGACTTTTATAGGAAAGTGCTTACAGACATAAATCTGTAGAATTTTATATGTTGATAGAGAATTTCTACGGATGACATTTTATTGTATCTGAGTTAAAAAAATGTCTGATTTCATTAAATTGCATATTATGTATTTAACATTTATTAAAACTGATTTTATGTGTTTAATGTTAGTTGAAAGTAACATTTAAGTTGCCTGGAAGAAGTCAACACTGGCAATACGGCCGCACTAACTCTTTAATGCCAATTATTATTATTATTATATATTAAAATTTTTAAAAATTACGACACGGGCGGAACTAGAATAGGCATCCACAGCGTTCCCAGCTGTCGCTCTCCAATCCAGTTGAGCTACAATGCTCTACACTACACGGCCCCTCTCGCGCATTTTTAAAATCTAAAATCGATTCTTAATTTCTATATCGTCATCATGTGCAATAATATGTTTAAACACCAAAGTTTCAAATATATGTTTGTGTTTTATTTGTTTGTGCAAAAAAGTGTTTTATTATATTACTATTAGAGCGATTTACATCAAAGGAGGTATTTCTTAAAAAAAATCTTCGATCTCTATGTCGATCGTATTTAAAATGCAAAGGGATAAAACATACAGTCCTTTTGCAAAAAATAATAATGGCATATAGATAAATAGCTACTTAATGTGAAATTGAATCATATTAGGAAATCCTACCTAAGAGATTCTAATTTGTAGAATTTTTTCTACAACTAAACATTATCTCTCCTTTCACCGTCGCGATATAGCTTCTAGTGTTATTGCTTGCTAGAAAGTAAGTAGAGATCCTTATATTATTGCAAATCCAATGGCATAAGATGTACCCTTCTATTATATTTTTAAAATTATTTTGTAGTTGGTAAGAAAAATAAAGTGCCATTTAAAAATGTATAAATATGATGTATTTACAGTGATTTATCTTAATACTAAGTAATTAACAGTGGTATTTAACAAGTGACTATTTAGGGACATAGTTTTAAATTTACTTTATTATATTCTAGGAGGCTTGTTCAATGGTCGATTAGGCCTAAAAGTGGTTGGTTCTATATCACGGTTATTTCCCATTTGGGATATTCTTCTAGGAACATTCCTTGCCTTCTGGGGAGCTTTGTATTGAGGAATCTTTACAGTCCTAACTCTCAGTGGCGCTGATAGCGGCCTTATAATTATTATCTTCGAACTCTTTGGTATAAAGGTATGGACGTGTGGCACAACTTTTAACGGTAAGCTGTGATGGTGATGATGTTTATGATGATGATGGTGAAGAGTAAGCGGCGGCGGAGCAATGTAAGTCAGAGGTACTGGAACTATTTCAAAATTGGCCTTCAGTTTCTGCGGTTTTTGTGCTGGCGTTTGAGGTAATTGTTGAGGTACTTGAGGTGCCAGATATTGTCTAAACACATTTGGGTTCTCATTAGAGGGTAGGGCTTGGATGAAACTGTCATCGATATTCGAAGGTGCGACTGTAGTCGTTGCATTTTGCGTCGTCTTACTTTTCTTAGTGGTAGCTTGAGTCGTTGGTTCTTTGTTTGGATTATCTGTGGGGAAGCTATCTGTTGGTTGTGGAATGAAATTAAATCCTGGGGGGAGTCCAAACGGGTACGGAGGTAGCAGAATAGTGGCGACTGGTGCTGCAGCGTGGGTCGTGGCAATAGCTAATGCTATGTTCGGATCAGAAGCCGCGTTTTCAGGTGGATTCGTTGGTGGTGGTAGTACTGTTGTTCTTGTTGCTTCTACAATCACCGGCGGCTGAGACGCTACTGGAATTACTGGAGCTGTCGGCTGAACTGGTAGTACTGTTGGTGGGCCTACTGGGATAACTTGAGGGGGTGGTAATATTGGTGCTACTGGTACTTGCTCAAACACAGGAGCAGCTACCAGACGATTGAACGTCCTCTGGAAGTACTGTGAACTTGCTGCTGTAACGACAGGAGCTGGCTCACCAGGTGCCAGCTGTAACTCATGTATTCCGGATCCATAAGCAACTCCGCATATGACCGCTAGCAACGTTATCTGAAACACGATATTAATATATCCAAGTTTACTATAATAAAGTTCAACAAGGAAAAATGCATGTTTGTCAAGGGTTTAAGGGATCGGCATACGCTGTTGTCTATCCCGTACATACGTGTTTCGGACTTTTAAATAAATATTCAATATCGCGACTAATACCTTGTCAAAGATCATTTTGTAGCGATCCTTCGCTTGACCGCCTTCAAGTACCAAATGCGGTCGAAAGGAAATAGAACCCCGTCTTTTATATAGGTGTAACAAATTTTGCATTGTGGTGTGGCAACGTGGACCGTGTATCGGAATACCTAATAGTCCAATGGGTAAGGACATGAACCTTGATGGCTACAAAAATCGTATTGAAATTACGACGGAAGAATAATAACTAGACATAGCTGAGAAAGTACCGGCTTGTATAATAACTGCATAATATTAATATCATATTGAATTTGTAATTAACTTTAGGTTACCTAAACAAGACCACTTTAAATACATATAAACTGCAATATAATTCGTTTCGGTAAACGCTATTTTCAGACTAAGCTATAGAAAAGTTAAGCGGACACATTCACAGGATCTTCATTATTTTAACAATTGAACTAAGGTGGCAGTCACGAATCCTTTTAACCTGATCACTCTTAACTGTACTAATATTATAAAGCTGACTAGTGACTTTGTTTATTTGTTTTCAACAGTCAAAATTGTGCTAATCTAACTACGAACGAACTAATGATTCGATTTGAAAATTTATCTTTGCGATGGTTAGACCACGTGAATAAAAATAGCCTTTCTCGATAATGGATCACTGAAAGCAATAGGCTAGCAAAGAAGTATACGAAATTTCGGTAAAAGGGGGCATTATTATTAGTTATAATAGAGTAATTCCTCTCTAATGATTTATAAACACAACACAACCGCGACTTTTAATTTTAATTTACGTAAACGACAGGAAGATGATGTCGGCAAAGTCTATATAGTTTATAAAGGTGAAGAGGTAGTTTGCAAAAAATATTTTAATGATCAAAATAACTATTCCACACGGACGAAGTCACGGGTACAGCTAGTTCATTATAGCATTAGTCTAAGTGTTATTTAATCTATATAATAAGTATTCAGTTACCAGTCAGGAAATGACCTAAAATAAACATTGTCTGATTTATACGAAGTATGAATCTTTGAAGGCTGCATTTGACGGAATATGATATTGTAAATAAAGTGATGTGTATCTTCTTTGTGTTACACGTGTATTTGAAAGATCAAGTGGAGAGGGTCTCGTGCAAAATTTTCCCTTACTGATTTCTTATAGCAAAGGATGTGATAAGCAACCCGCGTTTGACATGTCGCGATTTACACTTACAGTTTTTTATTTTGGTTCGCGATTCTAGTTTGTTTTTTAAGCAATGTCTGCAGTTTACGCGAGTAGTACATATAAAAAACACTCTTAACGGTTTGAAACTCGAACTGTATCTGTTAAACTCATTTGCAATTCATTTTAACTACGGCCCGACGTTTGCAGCAGTCGTGGTCACGAGGAGTCACAAGCAATCACCCCCAGTAAGTTTAGTTATCATACTATATCGCTTTTTAAACCGTTAAAGATTTCTATTTAAACACACATATTAATTAAAAATTTGTCAAAATGTATTATAGATATGATCGCGGACAAATATCTTATATCTTAATATTTAAAACGCCTGCAGCTTTCAAAATATATGTTGTGATAAATCTAATTTGCTATCGGTATATATGACTTAACCCGTATTAAAAATTGTTAGCATCAAAATATAAATAATATTACAATCAAATATTGTCAACAGGAGTTGAATAATCGCATTTAGAATTTTCGTTTGGTTATAATATTTTACCCTATTCTATCCTTTTTTAATCGATATTAAAATGAACTTGTTGTAATTTACTGCCTTTTTACCCCCCCCGCCCCTCTACTATTTTACTACTCAAACTATCTAATGTAATATTGGTTCAATCTTCCTCAGCTTCCAAGAAAACATTCATTGACTTGACTTGAACCAACATATATTGCTATATAAATTTAAGCGGGATGACTTTGGAAAAATTTGGAAAATGATTTATCATTATTGTTTTCCGAGGCGAAAGGCGAAAACGAATTAAGATGCCCAAAATAACGATTCTCGCGGACGAAGTCGCGTGCCTCAGCAAGTGCTTGTATAATCGTAGTAAATACTTAGATTGAGAGTTAAAAGAACATGTGACTTTTCCTACCCTACAAGGTTTCATTATTTAATTATACTTTTATTACTTACCTCTACGTTATTATTACTGAGAATCAGTCTAAGTAATTTACCATCCGAATTTAAATTTATTTAAATGGGTCAATTCGTTTCCCAAGATACAGCAAAGATAAATTTTAGTTGTGAGTTGAAGAAAATTATATTGTATTGTTCGAAAACAAGATAATATTTACGTAATAGACTTAAGAAATTATTTTCCCAAATCTTAATAATATATTTCGTTGAATTATTATTTTAGATCAAGTTCTAATTATAGTTCGAATTACGTCAAATATTACAAGAATTATATTTATGACCTATAAATTTATTTTAACGAGTTTAAACGCGATTGCTTTAGTTTATTATCTAAGAAATGACGATTCGGGTGTAACTAAAACATAAAAATGTACTATATATATATATATATATATATATACCAGTTTGTCTATAATTTCAATAGAATCAGTGATCGTTCTAATCTGCCCTCGAATTAATCAAAATATTTAAAAAAAATCACCTCCTTTTTGGTTTCAAATATTAAAGTTTCTTTCACATTTTTTTATTACCATTAAAAAATGTGAAAAGAATAAATACTGTTTGTAGTTTACGGGAGGAGTACACGTTTAATTAGTTTAACTATGTTTCGCGTTTTAAACCGTTAAAAGTGTTTTATTCGAACGTGAAAAGAATAAGCATAACTTCGGCTTTTTATTATTGATATCTTTCATGTAGGCAATAAATTGACATGTGAAAAATAAAGTTCCAAAAATAAAAAATAATAATATTCAACAAATTTATTTACGATCACATCTTTACACAATGGCAATTTAAACAGCGTAGACGGCAGGGGCGGCGACATAGGGGGCGGAAGGTGCGTAGTAGGGGGATGCTATGTAAGGCGCGCTAGCGACAACCGGTGCTGCCGGGGCAACGTAAGCAGCAGGAGCAACGTAGGCAGCTAAGCCATTGTTAATGCGGTGGTAGTATTGAGAGCTTGTGGCAGTGACGACTGGTGCTGGGGCGGCCACAAGGGGGGCACTGACTAGAGATGGTTTGGCTGCAGCAATGGCTACCAGCGCTGAGATGAGGATCACCTGAAAGTAATAATTCTTTGTTAGGGTTTGTTATATTTATTTTTAAAAGTATTACAACAATTGCTATATCTGTACTAATAGGGCTGAAGAGTTCCTTTGCTAAGATTTGTTTAAGCTTTAGGCAAGGACACATGCTGACGCCGGGGAGAAACAGCTGTAATTTATAAAGATAAGAAGGAGATACTGTCTATAGTTTACGCGAGTAGTACACATTTAAATAATACACTTTAACGGTTTAAAACGCGATATATTAGTTAAACTTATTTGAAAATGATTTTTAACTTCGGCCCGACGTCTCCCCGTGCCCACGGCTGCTGCAACAGCATCCGAAACTTATTCCGATGACGTCACGGGGATACGGTCTCCCCGTGACGTCATCGGAAACGTCTCGCCGAAGTTAAAAATCATTTTCAAATAAAGTTTAACTAATATATCCTGTTTTAAACCGTTAAAGTGTTTTATTTAAATTTTAGATAAGAAGGAGGTTTGCAAAAACAAACTTTGATGTCCCTTTTTTATATATTAATTATTTCGTTTTACCTGTCTATATGAAAATACAAATGATATAAATAAGTCAAATTTGAGATCTATGGTAACGGGAAAATTACCCTTTTGTGATCTAAACCATTTTTTTTCAGGACTAGAATCTAAGACCCTTAAACATTATTTAAGCGAACTTTGAAAATAAACCACTGAAGCACAATGCTTATTATGGTAAAGTAAATGGAAATTTTTAATAAGGCTTTTAAATTAAGCTGTACTTACGATTTTCATCATTTTGTTTTGTTTGGTGTACTTCAGTTCTGCAAATACAGGAGTGATGCCATTTGTGGATGTCAGTGGACATTTTATACCGTTCAGTGGATGTATTGCAACACGGCCCAAACGTGGCGACGTCTCTGACATTGACGATGCGTGCTCTGCATCAAACGGAGTTGGTTTCACCACCTTTGGAGGATAAATCATGAGATTACTTTCCAATACCACTTGGGAATTATGTTACAGAATTGTGCCAAGAAGTTGCGTTGACTACCCATGCACATTACCAATACTAGGTTTATCCGCGACGTCGTCTGCGTGCTTAAATTACTGTCAGCAACATAGAATTGTTATAGATTTTAAATTAACCCATTCTTTGGCATTTTAAGTTATTAATATCGTTAAAACTCTCAAAATAACTCTGCTGTACACTCGCAGATTATCTTACTGTTTTTTAAATAGCATATACAGACATAAAATATCTTTCTTTTCTATCACTATTTATTTACATAAAAAAATGTTTTTGATAATTTTCAAACACTAAATGCTTCAGATTGCACTATAATAGTATAAATTGGTGGATACAAAATACAAAGAAGACCACCCAGAAGTAACAATCATAAAATACTGTCTATAGTTTACGCGAGTAGTAGCCATTTAAATAAAACACGTTAACGGTTTAAAACGCGATATATTAGTTAAACTTATTTGAAAATGATTTTTACTTCGGCGAGACGTTTCGATGACGTCACGGGGAGTTTCCCCGTGACCACGGCTGCTGCAAAGCATTAAAATAAGTTAATTTTAAAATAAGTTTAACTGATATATCCCGTTTTAAGCCGTTAAAGTGTTTTATTTAAATACACAATCATAATTAAATCTATACTATTTAATTTTATACAATTAAATTATTTTGATTTAAAATTAAGTTCTTTAATTAAATGAAAATCTCTTAATATAATAGTTTATTTCCTTTTCATTGAATTGAGGCGTGAAGTAATGTTATGTTAAGGTTTAATTTTAATAATTGGAATAAGAGGAATTTAATAATGGAGAGATATGTAAGCTTTTCTTTCGTATAACAATTGAAGTTTCAAGTGCCTCATTTTACATAGTCACACTGAATTGTATGGTAGATATATTTATAAAAAAAATACCGAAACCGCGAAATTTTATGTGTTAAATCCCGTTTCCCCTCGTGGGGCATAGGATGAACTCATTTCTGTGTCCGTTGATCAGACTTCTGTGCCCTGCCCCGCCTAAAAAAATTTACTGTTTTCCCATGATTCGAATCCAGGACCTCTCGCGCTGAATGCAATTCTAGGCAACAATTTGACTGAGACTAAAACCCAAAATCTTTTAAAAATCGAAAATAAATGAACCGGCATCGTCAGCGTTCCGTGCTGTTGCTCTACCAATTGAGCTACGAATCCTACATCTCATCGTCGAATTTTTTTCACTTTTTGATACATGCGCCTATCGCGCAATGTAATTTCAACCTTAACACTTGCGTATTAAGGTTCAACGTCTTATGCTTTGCAGCTTAAGAAATCATTGAAGATGAAATTACTAATGACGATGCCGGTTCAAGTCCTGCTCGAGTCGAAATTTTTTCAATTTATTTACGATTTGTAAATTATATAGTGCCTTCATGTGCAATAACATGTAAAAAAAAATTAAAGTTTTCAAACCAAAATCTTATATATTATGTTATAGAGTTTGTTTAACCACGTTTAACCACAGAGCTATTTATGGCTAAATTTTTTTAGAATATACATATTTCAACTACTTAAAATACAAGTGTTTACTTGCGCGAACTACAGTATGACATATACAGATGGTGTAGTAGGATTCTTATCATTAAATCTATCTCCTTAGAAACTGAGATTAATTGGAAAATAGTAATTTTATTCAAATGACTAGACACAGCAGAGACGTTGAATACAGAAACTAATAAGCTTTAAGCACAAAACAACCTCAATCGGATTTGATACGACATACATTATTCGGGATAATTCTCGTTACGTAACAGTTATGCAATGTTTGTAACAAACATCTGCGCCGGACGTATGATGTACATCGTAATAACATATGCATGTCATAAAGATATTAGACACCTAATATTATTTGGCACTTTAGAAACTAAATTTATGACGATTGTAGAAATAAAAACAAATGTATATGGAACAATTGAAAATATTAAAAAGTAGTTATAGAATTAAATAAAACACTTTAACGGTTTACAACGCGATACTATTAGTGTAACCTTGTTTGAAATATTTTAAATACGGTCCGACGTTTCCGATGCTTTGCAGCAGCCGTGGTCATGGGGAGATTTAAATTTTTTTTTTCAGCTTTTTATAGAACGATGTGTGTTGTCATAGTACATCTTTTGACGGCTTTAATGTATTATTTTTTTGTTTAACTTTTTTAAAATTTTTTGTTTTAAAAGGCCCTTTTTTTTTTTTTTTTGTAGCAATGTCTGGCTAATTATGACCGATTCGTGGGGACGAATCGAACTGGCTTTTCAATTGGATGTTAATAGGGTGGTAGAAATATCGGAATTCCGTCCGGGCTACGAACCACCGTCCACAGATGAAGAAGCCGTGAAGTTAAATAACGTTTCGGTTTTCGGTCTGTGGATTTCCGAATATCCAAAGCCAAAACAAGTCAGACAGCGTATCTTGTTGTAATTTGCTTAAATCTACCTTCGTGAAGAGTAAGTTTCTCATATAAGTGATTTGTGATCTAAGTAAGATTTTTTTAATGGAAACCATACCACAAGAAGAAATTACTATCAATATTTTGACAGTACAATGGTTATACTACAACTCTATCGATAGCGCAGGCTACATTTAAAATGCCTCGCCATATAACATTACACGTATGTTTGTCTACTCTTCACACCGTAAACCGTGATTAAAAACTGCCACGTGCTTACTATTATCGATGATCCATAACGAATTTACACGTGTAGTCTTTACTTCAAAAGAACAATGCAGCAAAGCTTTCATGACTGTCCTTTTCAATTGACGTGTAAGGTAAAAGCTGCGTCAGAATACTCGTAGTATTATAATCAATAACACAATTATAATGCGAGGTAGTTAGAGAAAAAGTTTCTTACACGCGGTAGGTAATTGTCAAAAAGACCTAAGCTTAATTTCTCCTAATAGAGCATTACGAACTTTAAAATACTGGTGAAATGTGTTATTTTTAATCTAGTAGTTTACGCTAGTAATACATACACGAGTTTTAAACCGTTAACAGTGTTTTATTTACGTTTGTTGTTACTATTCTACTATATACATCCATTTAATTGAAAAAAAAATGTCTTATTCGAGTCATTTTACTCATCTTTCTTTTTTATCTGTTTCTATTCATTTTATCTATTTAACGTTTAATCAAGATCACATTAAAAGACTCATCCGGCATTTTGAACTAATACATAATAATAATCTTAGTTTAAAATTACACAACACAGTTCGTGGGCAGTTACGTACACAAGTTTACTCTGCGATAAAGGGTTATTTGTTATACAATTTCGGATAAGATAAATATTGTTGTCTATGGTCAATGTTATTTATTTAAATTTTTTTTTACCTGTACCAATTAAAAAATAAACAATATTACATATACTACACGTTACGCATAATATTAGATTGACAGACATAAGGCTATAAAATCGGTCTGTTTTATCAAGGATTTTATCTCATCTAAAATAGAAAATAAATAATATAATGCTATCCCGTGCAACATATATATAAAATAATCATGTTTTATATATGTATTATATAATATAAGTTTTAAATCTTCAATTCTAATTTGTGGGTACTCTTTAAGGGTTTTAAGTAGATGGAATAAAAGTAAATGTTATTTCTGATAAATATTTATTAACGTTATATCACAGGTTGGCTTTGGTCAATCAACGGCGAAGGTAGTAGGAGTAGGGAGAAGCGTATGGGTAAGCGGAGTAAGCGGCGACAGGAGCGGAGTAAGCGGAGTAGGCGGTGTACGCTACGGGCGCGGTGTAGGCCGCTGCTACGGGCGCTGTGTACGCCGCGGCCACTGGGGCGGTGTACGCCACTGGGAACACTCCGGGCTTGGCGGCGGCGAGGGCCAGGAAACAGGCGAATGCGAACTGTGAAAAGAAAGGAGTGTAAATACAAAATGCCTGTATTCAAAACATTTAACATTCCAAATTTTTGCTCACTGCCTAAAGTGGGTGGGCACTACATTGTGCCTAGATCAACCGAAATTACATTTATTACTCTGGGAACCAGACCTGCACTTTAATTAGATCACGACTATCACGAAATATAATCCAGTATTTTTTTTTATTGACTATTTCGTATTGTGTTCCGACGGAGCCACGAATACTAACCGGGCGTTTTGGGCGAGTGCGTTAGCGCTCGGCGTGTTTGCGGCTAGACCAAGGGTGCCCCGAGGGGGGCATCGGCCTCGGCTTGGACCGCCGCAATGCGGGCTGGGAGCTTGAGGAGTTGGATGGAAGCTCACCCGGGTGAGCGGTAAATCCAGTAAATGGTTCAACTGTTTGCCTACTGTTCTTTTTATTTTCTGTCACATGTCGGTTACTCTTAATTACTATGAACTCAGGATGTTAACAAATTGTCCGCTATCTCACCTCTGTATTGTTACCAAACGTTTATTGCCCTTCGTTATAAAGTTATGAGTGATGATACACTAAAAGCGAGCTATTAATCTTTACTTCCCAAAAGGTCTATCAACTTCATCCAAGAAGGTTCAAGAACCTTACCATAATATTAAACGAGATATCGGCCGACTATTGTTAAATTTTCCTATTGTTTAACCTGTAACGTTTACAGGGATGGACCGAGATTCGGTTCGCGTCCGGTTTAACTAAGTGTAGTGTACATAAAAGAGGACTCAATGTGTTTATCCCGTCCGTGTAACATATTTATTATTTTTAATCCTTAATAAAAATTATATAGGGTATGAAGTGCATTAAATTTAAAACTAATAGTATAAAAAAAATATCCAAAACTGAAATAGAAGGATGAAATACCCCTTCACCTACCATCAAGTGAAACAGATGCTCGTCTGGCCTACCCTATCATTAAAAAAATAAGCATCTTTATGTTCTAAGCTTCCTCCGGCAATAAAATGACAAAAAAATCTGTTTATTTAAACCGAATGTTCTAATTTGGGCTTCGTTTCAAACAGCCCATCTCTAATCGTTAAATGTCTAGCAACTTACCAGTTTGAACATGTTGAAGTTTTGTGTTGTTTTTGTTGTTGGTAGTAAGCAAAGGCACAACTGTTGTTGTATGAATGATGGTCGTTGATGCGTATCGAATCGTTTTATACTTAATCGCAGAGCAAAAGTGACCTTGCAACACGTGTTAGGAATACAAGTCTTTCGTTTCATGGCTATAAACTCAGCTGTCTTCTAAGGGAAACTAAATATATTTAAATTAATTAGATCCAGGGCTGAACCATTTTTAATAATTTCAAATATAACAATGGAGAAGTAACCGTCTCCGTGACGCACTTGGTTTAAAATACGATTATTAGTGAAACTTATTTTTAATTTATCCTACTTATATAGATAAATCTGATCAATTACGTGTTTTAGGACACACCAAAATATGTCTGCCTGATACGAGAATATGCTTATTTGTATAATACTTTTTAGTAATCAAAATAATGTAATGATATTCAGAACCCGACATGAGTTTTTTCATAATGGGAAAACGATTTTTTTTTAACCTAAATATTTGCTATAACTGTATATGGATTGACGCTTGAAATTGTACATACTTGTCCCTAATGCAATATTTAAGTTTTAAACTAAAACACTACAGCAGACACAATTCTGTGACTCAAATGATACACCACCCGCGTCCATACTTGTAAATTAATATTTTTTAAATGTAGATGCTTTTCGAAACGTCGGAACGTAGTTACAATTCAAACAAGTTTAACTAATATATATCGTGTTTAAAACCGTTAAAGTGTTTTATTTAAATTTGTACTACTCTCGTAAATTGCAGACAGTATATAATTCATGTTTTCATTTTCCTTAGAGTACACAGATTTTTTTTTCAACAATATACATATACTAAAGTTAATCGTGAACTGTCATATTCACGGCTATTAAATTTTAATTCATATTCGATTTAGTAACGCCTTTTAGAACTTAATTAACCGATTTAATTCGAAAATAAGATAGGTATTGAATATATATAGGTTTGTTAAAGGAAATTAATTCAATGCAGATTATGCATAGAGACGCCATGTTATTGAAATCGGTAAGCAATTTCTTGCACTTTGACCTTTTCTTTTAATTATCTTCTATGATATCGTTATTTTCTCTAAATATAGATAATATTGTTAGGACTAAGAAATGCCTGCAGCATATAATCTAGAGCATCTTGTTAATTTTGTTTTTTTCTTGTAATCTAATAGATATTACAAGAAAAGAAATCGTTAAATGGAAATGGAAAAGCAATTTTTTTATTTCATCATATACGAGTTTGGTCGTTCTTTTAACGACGTTTAAGAGCTGAGCCCACCACGTCGTTCCAGTGTAGACCGTTGTTATATTAACTACTGAATTATTTGTTTCAGATTTTGTTTTTCTTAGTTCTATGTTTTGCAAGTATGGTTTGCCTGGGTATGCCATCGCGAGGTCTTTATGTTAGACGACCCGTCGTTTTCATCAGAACGTCACCAAGAATTTTAGTTCCTATAAGACAAGGATTCTATGGTGGGAAGAATTAAAGATTCAGTTCAGAAACTTGGCAAAGTTTTATTATATCCTATGATTGTATACGTTTTTTTTATGCCTTATCTTTCCAATTTACAAAAGCATTGAAATCCGAAAATAAGAAAGAAAAATTGTTATATTGATAAGCCATAAAATAAGAACTTTATGTTGCTTTAAAATTGTAGTTAAATAAAATATCATTTACTTAATTTATATTGTTCCCTTACTATGAGTATACACAACGTTACCATAAGGTGTAATACTAAGACCTCTTTTCCTCATGTATATGGGAGCCGTTTGACAAACTTTTAAGCGATAATTCAAAAAATATCTTTTATATTGCCACTTTAATTATAAATACTAACTAGTATATTGTTACCCACATCACTACAACATGCATGATTTTCTTCCTGTTTTAATAATGGTACGGAAGTTTAAAATCATCGCATTAGGTTTTTGCTTCAAGCTTCTCAATGTAGACATGACAAGATACATTTCTTACTATTCATAGAATTATGAAACCTCTCTCATCTCTTTTGTTCAAGTATCAACATATTACTAAGAAACAAGAGGGACAGAAATAAAAATGAATTCCAATAAATTATAACTATTTTATTATCACAGAGTTTCCATCAACGAACATAGTAACTGTAAGGATATGAATAGGTGTAGTCATAGTGGGAGGCGTAACTTGGGTAAGAGTAGTACGATGGCTCGTAGTCGACAGCAACTGGGGAGCTGTAGCCCAAAGGGTCTATCGAATACTCCACGAGGACCGGTTTAGCAGCAGCAAACGCCAGTAGAGCAGCGAAGAATATCTGAAAATGTTAATTTTTAATCATAATACGCTGTTTGTTTTTGTTTATTTTAATTTATTTGCATTAATTAAAACTACGTGTCAGCCCTAAGGTCGTTCCATTTTTAATTTTTTTAGTTCCACATTTAATTTAAATAACAACGTAAAAACTATAAATTAAAATCTCCTCAACACGTTTATTTTGTGAAGGATATTAGAATATTGGAAACAAAACCTTACTTTATAGTGGTATTACATTATATATTTGTTTTTCATAAAATAAAAGATTAGTAAACCAATTATTTACAAAGAAATAACATTTAGTACCTACTTTATAAGAGACATTATTATAAAATAGTAAAGCGTAACTTACGTATTTAAACATTTTTAAATATATTTAACTTCTATATTGAACTATTGATGATGTATGTGTTTGATAAGAATGCACCCTGTTTATATAGGACCACATACCAGAGGAAATTACCCGGATAACTAGGCGAATATCCTGCAAGTGGTCATTAGAATTATTGTCACGTAGCACCTTGCTTTAGTCTGACCACTATAAAATAAGGTCAAGGATTTAGGCGAGCCAAAGTAATTTTAAAATGTACTTCGTTTTGTAAGGTTTTATAAACGGCACACAGCAGTGTAATTTAGACATTTCAAAACTTTTCATATTATAAAAATAGCATTAAACAGCTTTATTTCATCAATCGCTACTGTTCTTGAATTGTTCTGTGGTCGCGATAGAACTGCATAGAAGTATAGCGTTTCGTACAAAAAGCTTGAAGTTTGACATCCAAAGACACATCCAAATACACCTTTAAATAAAACACTTCAATGATTTAAAACGCGAAATATATTATTGAAACAAATTTGGATTATCGTATTATCGTAGTTGGTATTTGGCGAAACATATTAACTAATATATATCGCGTTTTACACCGTTAAAGTATTTTGTTTGAATTTAGAAGTAGCAGCAAGTATTGGGAAATATATCTATATATTATTTAATGAATATAATTCCTCATACTAAAAAGACTACAAAGTAACAATAAGTACACATAATTATGACGTATAAGTCATCTGAATATTAAAAATATTTGTCCTACAAGTTGATACTAGAAAATTCTCAAGACCTTTTACGGACAATTAATGCACGACAATGATACGAACTACAATCTCTATTTTACATATAACATAATATAAATTCTTGCAAAATAAACTAAATGTTTGAAAAACGTATTTTCCGTGTTTTTGTTTACTGATTTTTTGTTGATTGTGTATAACCTTTTCTAACGGACTTAATTAGAACAGTCTAATTTAAGTTAGTCTACGGTCAGTTTTTTTACTCATATAATGGGCCATAATAATCCCGTGTATATTTTATAACTCATTTTATATAATATTGTCCCACGCTTAAGAATATAAACATAATTATTATCTAATTGAAAACGACCATGATTTAATTATATTTAATTTAAACTCGGAACTACTTACACGACGGTACTAATTACGTCTTTTTTCGGGCTTTGAACCTAGGAGTTCTGATTATTATGTTTTACTTGTTGTAGAGTAAAAATGTTTTAGACTATCCGAAAAATCTTGTTACTCTTAACCCAAAGGTATATGAAACATAATTATAAAGTATTTTTTAATTATTCACATTTAATTAATTTGCTTTCTACATTGACGAGTGATTTTCGAACCAGCAAACGTACTACCAATTGAGCTGTCACGCATATGGTCTTAAAATTTACTTTCTTCGATCTAAAATAAGAATAGAACTATATATATTTAAATGTGTCAAAGTTTAACTTTATATAAATAAAATTTAATATAATACTGATTTATTTTAACTATACAATTTAAACGTTTACTTAATCAATGCTTTTATTTATTTTTAAGGCTTTAAATAAAATATATGTACACAGTTAAATTTTTTTTTGCGTCACATATCACTTAAATAAATAAAATGAACCCTGAAAAAACAGTTTTAACTAAATATATTGAAAGCCTCGTGTATTATATATAAATAAGGGTTTAATCAAGATTCCTATTGGAGATACAGAACGGACCTCTTCATATGCCGATCATGTCGACAAGGACGTTTCTTCACAGTGGTAAAGTATAAAAAGTTTGACGACAGCACACCTAACATCACTCACTCTCAGTTTATCGTACAATTTACACCCACCAACAAAATAGCTACCAAAATGTTCAAGCTGGTAAGCATATTGCATGTAATATTTTTAATATTATAAATCTAATAAAACCATGAATTTTCAAAAAGTTTTATAACCTTTTTAAACCGATGTAAAACTACCTTCGCTTGGGAAAAATACAAATAGGTATTTTGAATGTGTATCCTATGGCGCAATTGTAAACAGCGTTGCTTTGCAAAGCTAAGCAAGGGGTTCTCATCTATGTTTGCATTTAATAAAATCGTTAAATGTAACGGCCATACAAATATGTCTGCCTTAGTAATTCTAAACGGGACTTAGTATTATAAATGCAATGTTAACTGTTTTTTTTTATCAACAGTTCGTATTCGCCTGTTTCCTGGCCCTCGCCGCCGCCAAGCCCGGAGTGTTCCCAGTGGCGTACACCGCCCCAGTGGCCGCGGCGTACACAGCGCCCCTAGCGGCGGCCTACACCGCGCCCGTAGCGTACACCGCCTACTCCGCTTACTCCGCTCCTGTCGCCGCTTACTCCGCTTACCCATACGCTTCTCCCTACTCCTACTACCTTCGCCGTTGATTGACCAAAGCCAACCTGTGATTTATGCGAAATAAATGACTTCTGTTTTATCATTTCGTTTATTTTATCGTTTTTTACCAAATTGCATCGGAGCTAGGCACTCTAAACACAATCAAGAACTTTACCTGTCTATGATGCTTACAGTTCGTATCTAAATGTTACTATGTAACTTGTAGTTAATCTTTTTATTACTAGCAATCTACTTATCAAATGACCTCAGGAACAAACATTTTCATGACATCAAAGTCTATGATCGAAACTCGACTATCAAGTTTATGAAAATTAATAAACAAAAAATAAAGAGGCTATATTTTAATAAATTGTGTTCCTTGATCTTGTCCATTTTACGCATATTTTTCAGATGATAGCGAAACAAATATGAATTTTACAAATCACTAATTATCGCTTTTTTTCCTATGTCGGGTGTCCTGGGTTTTGTCCGTTTCACTGAATTGTATAAGCTACGCGATTACCAAACTTCTGTGGCAATATTTGAACCCACAACACTTCTCGCTTCTCTAGACTTATCATAATATTATTCCGGCTTCCTTGGACGAGAATAATAATATAGGAAATATGTTAAATCATATAACAATATAACGGACTGCAAATAGAAAAAAATCTTTATAACCCTAAACCACAAATAAGCCTTAAAAAAACAAACTACTACAGAATCAACTGCTACTATTACTTTCCTTGTCAACTTGTCTTTATAGATGTGATAACAATTTTACAGTTTTAGCAAGTCAAGTCGTCACTACCACTGGCGGTGTCAGCGACTTCGTCCGCGTAGAATAGTTATTTTGGGTTTCCAAATTTGTTTTTGAAAACCTCTTGTTCAACTTTATTACTTTCTTAAAAGATAGACAGATAGTGTCTCGGACATTCATTTAGGTCATTTAAAGAGGAATCATTTTTTATACATAAGTATTTTTTGGGCATCTTGAACCGTTTTCGTAGTGTACAAAGGCCTATAATTTTCCTCAATACATGCTCTAACCAACACAAAATATTTTTTTAGTTCTCGAGATTAGCGCGTTCAAACAAACAAACAAAGAAACTCATCACTTTTATTTATTAGTATAGGTAAATTTTGAGAATTTCCCCGCGAGTCAGTTGTTTATCATCACAAATGCCAGAGGCAATTATGTCTAAGGTAAGTAACCTTGTTTGAATAACTTATTAGACGCAGGTACTTCTTGACGTAGCGTATCGGAACATTCTAATTAACCTTTATTATATTAAAATAGATCAACTGTAAATATCCTTTGGGAATTGATAGGCTTTACTAAATTATATCTTTCTAGGTTCTAAATAATACGAATGTCTGAATGTCATAAATTACAACAATCGTGGAACAACAAACACAACAATCAAACAACCAACTTTATTTGTTACTAAACTACCGTACTTTTTGGAAAAAACGCTAAACATTATTTATATATAGGACTTGAATATAATAACAAAGAAATAATTAGTATCGTTATAAGTAGATTCATTTTTGGATCGTCCTCTCAGTGAATCTCTTCGATTGTCGGTCTTTCTCTATCGGTATATACTTTTATGTATCAAAAAAATATGATTTACCTAAGCACAAACTATATATTATGTGTGTAATAGTTATAAGAAAGTTCAATCAAAATTACAGTAAACAACATTGTTATTGATTCCAATTATTGAATAACACGTTCGACGGTTCACGTGAGTATTTCATAGGTAATAATTATAAATATAGCAATTAACGACGAACAAACAGGGTTCAAGGAACTGGTTTCTTATGTTAAGAAAATTGTATTAGTTATTTAGAGCAAATTTTGAGCTAAGCATACTAGCTATGTTTGTTTGATTGGCAAAAATCTTGATTAATAAGCCACAAAGGATGAAACGACAATAGAGATAAAAGCGTGTGAAAAAAAATTCATCCATCCAATAAGATTTTTTTTGGGTTGCAATGTTTGGCTGTAGTATATAAAATAAGCTTAGTGAAGCTAGGACAAACAAACACACTATCGCACAATTGATCGAAATGAGAGACACATTGACACAGATTTCACACGCTTGTGTGAAATCTCGATTCCCCAGTGGGGCATGGGGCGACCACATTCTGGCATCCGTTTCTGGTATTCTTTTATAGATAAGTAGATCAGACTTCTGAGCCTTGCCAGACCGAAAAAAACTGTTGTATCCCCAGTCTTCGAACTCAGGACCTTAGCAACATGTTTAACCATCTGACTATAGAGGCGGTCTCAAAATGAAAGACAGAAATAATATAATGTGATCACTTTATTTGTCAAGTCATTCTGAAACATCAATCCGAAACATCAGCTCTTCAACGGTAGTAATAGGCGGCGTATGGTGAAGCGTAACTGTAGGCGGAGTAGGCGAGTGGAGCTGAATATGCGGAGTATGCTACAGGAGCAGTGTAAGCTGCTGCTACAGGTGCAGTGTAAGCTGCTGCTACAGGTGCAGTGTAAGCTGCTGCTACGGGCGAGGTATACGCTGCTAACGGTGCTGTGTAGGAGACAGGCACGAGAGCGGGCTTGGCGGCAGCGAAGGCCAGGAAGCAGACGAATACGAACTGTTGAGGAATGCTATGTATTAATACATTATAAATAAAATGGAAAAGTACAGTTGGGACTCGAATCCGCCTATCCCGTGAGCTGTGTGCGTTACAAAGAGAGGCCGCCTTTAACTCTTTAAAATAAATACATCATTTATTATTACTATATTTTACTTGTTTGTGGAATAAAGTTTTATTCTTATTTATTACGAGCTTCACTTTGTCACGAAGAGGTGATGACTGATGAGCTGTCGATCTATATCGGCATTAGATATTCGGAAATCTACAGACAACAACCGATGCCCGATTAAACTTGACGCTTTTATTATCTGTGGATTTTACTTTCCTTTTGGATATTCGGAACAGGCTCGTTGATCTACTAGTATCAATATATGGTTAATAAAGGGTCGTGGGTTCAGGCCCCAGCGGATCAATGCTTATAATGCAATTTATGTTTTTTATACGTTAAGTTAGAAGTACCGACAATTCCGAACACAAGCCATCGTCCACAGATAACAAAGGCGTGAAGTTTAATCTAATTTTTAGTCTGTGGATTTCTAAATATCCAAATCTTCGTATATTTTAATAGCGACTATAAATTTTATTTGTATTAAGCTTTAATGTCCTTAATACAAAATAAATATTTAAAAATTATTAAATTAATAATTACCAGTTTGAACATCTTGATTGTGTGTTATCGAACTTTGTCTTTCGAATAATGTCGTTACTTCGATCGCTACGTCTTTATACTAGTTACTTGTAGCAGCGTATGAAGGTCGCAACAAAACGGTCAACCCCTGAGTCTAGAGTATTATAACTTCTATTATAATGTTACACCATGTATTATACAATATTGCGATGAAACTACACAATAAATTATAATATAAGGTTTATTACTAACATATTATTAACATAAAAAATAGACAAAAATGACAGAAACTTTTGGAAATCACAATAAAGAAATTATAATTCCTAAGTACTTATTTGTGTATCTGTCGCTTTCTTTTATTTAATTAATAAAAAATGTATGTCTTTAATAAAACACTTTATGGGTTTCAGACGCGATGTATATAAATGTATGATTTAACTAGCGTATTAAAGATAATTCATATCAAAACAATAATTTTTACAGACAATAGTTACTGCATATCCTGGGCTTCCTGGACGAAGATTGTGTTTCCAGCTAAATCTTGGAATTCAAACCCAGAGCTAAACAGGCATTGTTAAACAGAAAATTTAATCGACAAGTAAGCTCACTCGACTCTGATATAATTTTCGACTCATGTTGGGGTACTTGTCCGCAAATTACGGTATATCTAAAAATTACTGACATTAAATACTGTCTATAGTTTACGCGAGTAGTACACATTTAAATAAAACATTTTAACGGTTTAAAACGCGATATATTAGTTAAACTTATTTGAAAATTATTTTTAACTTCGGCCCGACGTTTCGGACGCTCTGCAGCAGACGTGACCACGGCAAGTTTAACTAATATATCGCGTATTAAACCGTTAAAGTGTTTTATTTAAATTACTGACATTTCTAAATTTCTTACGTCTAATCGCAAGGACATTGTGAATATAGCATAGATCTACATTAAATCGGCACATTGACCTCCACTGTGTGCAACTGTAGTTTGTCGTAAGCCAAGCACGCACGGTGTGACCCCTGACGCAACGCGTTAATCGAGCTTTGCATTCCTATTTGGACGATTCATACGACAATACTTATTCACGTGAAAGTGTAATTAAAAGTGAGAGTGATTAAAATAATACCAGCCAATTCGAGCCGAATTTGCAGCCACAAATTATTTTAATGTATGAAAATCACATGTGGTACCTCTCATCTAAATGTAATTAGAATTAGGATTGTTGGTACCGAGTAACCTAATTTAATAAAACAGACGTTTTGATTGATGATTCGTGGATATGAAAACCAGTTCAAAAAAATACTACTAGTAAAAATACTAGTCTAATTTAAATTACTTACTAAAACGCGTTTTTTTTTATTTTTTGTAAAATTTTTTTTTTTTTGGCCCCCCTTTTTGGGGGTTTTTTCGCGGCGGTTAAAACCAAGAAAATTTTTTTTTTTTTTCCTAGTCTTAACATATTACAGATTTTTTGGTACTACTGGCTGTAATTTTATTACTAACATTTATTCGTAAAAAATACAATAAAGTACAGATTGTATTATTATATCTTACTAATATTATAAATCAAAAATGTTTTTCTGTCCCGCTTTCACTTCGAATTACTAAACTGTTTTAATGAAATTTGGTACAGGTATATTTTAGAGCCTGAGAAAGGACATAGGCTACTTTTTTCTTTCCCAAAAAAGGGTTGATAGGGGTTGAAAAGGGGATGAAAGTTTGTATGGAAATTCGTGGTTTTTGAAGCTAGAACAATAAAACTTTCTTCTTTAGCTATTTAGGAATAGGAGTGGGAGTGAGGGGGGGTGGAAGTGAGTGTAGGAATGAGAGTGGGAGTAAGAGAAGGAATGATGTGAGGTAGAGTGTTGTGGCAAGTGCCTTAAATGTGCCCTTATTTAAATTAATTAACAGTCTAAATAAATAAAAATTCTACCCCAAGTCACTATTCCACGCGGATCGCGCACAGCTAGTTAATATATATTTTTATGATAGAGGAGGACAGACATGTCAAGGTTCACTTGATGGTAGGTGATATACCCCAGCCTATAGCATGTAAACAAGCCTCGGCTTTATTCGGGAATCTACATACTGAAAATAAAAAAAGAAATATACAGGTAAAATCATTATAGTTAGTTTTTATTTAATAATTTTCTTGCTGTGATATCGTTGGGTACATCTTTATGGCATAATGCGCTCCAAGATGCTTGTCTTGAATGTGTAGCAGTTGAAATTCTCTGCAGTTAGCAAATATTCAACCTGGGCATGTTAGGAATAACTTTATTCCTCGTTCTGGCTATTTAAACTGTCAACGCCTAGAGGAAGCATCATTCATTTGACATCTTCGGTAAAGTTAAATCGACAAAACCAAAATGTTCACCAAAGTAAGTTAAAAAAAATACGGCAATTTATTAAATAAGCTAAAATTGCGATCAACATAGTTATGGTAATTAGGTGTAATATAGATAAATGTGAACATCATACTTATGTAATTATCGGTTCGAATAAGGAGAAGATAATATAATTTAATTTATCATCCTTTAAAAATCAATACCCAAACTTATATATCCTTGTTTAGTTATCTGTATACTTTAGAGATTTTTTTGTGTTTCCTATTAATAGTAAAATTATAATTTAGCTTACATAATTACTAGAAGATATATAAGACATCATATGTGTTTTGAATAATGAATCCATTAGTAAACAAGACTATATAAAATAATATGTTATAAAATATTTAATTAATTTTCAGATAATCTTCGCTGCCCTGTTCGCTGTAGCAGCAGCAAAGCCCGGTATCCATTCGGTAGCATATAACGCTCCCTTAGTAGGGCCTGTAGCGTACACCGCACCTGTAGCCGCTGCCTACACAGCCCGTTTTCCTGCCTACCCTTCTGCGGTTGCCGCTGCTTACACTGCTCCCGTTGCTGCCGCTTACACTGCTCCCGTTGCCGCTGCATACACTGCTCCCGTTGCCGCTGCTTACTCTGCTGCATACACTGCTCCCGTTGCTGCTGCTTACACTGCGCCAGTTGCCGCTGCCTACGCCCCTGTATCTGCCTACAGCGCTCCTCTAGTTTCAGCTGCATACAGAGCACCTGTTTTCTTAAAGTAAACTTAATTGCCACGACTGATTTAATAACCGAATAAATAAAGTATTTAGTTAAACATGTTTTTTTTAATTAGCTAATTTTTATATTGACCTTTGCAAATCGTAACTCGGTTTTAAACCGTTTGAATGTTTTACAAGCAATCCGTAGATGAATGAGTTTTATTTTTAAATAAAACACTTTAACGGCCATAGTCACGGTTTCTGCAAAGTATCCAAAACGTCGGGACGTCGTCGTTCAAATAAGTTTAACTAATATTTATCGCGTTTTAAACTGTTAAAGTGTTTTAAATTGTTGTTGTTTCACTACAAGCAGTATTTAGGTGTAATTTTATGTTTTTTAAACCCATTTAGTTATATTGTCATTGAGAGTTATCAAAAGCTTAATCTAACGCATAACCCTGTCTTAATGTGTCATTTATTTTTAAAGTTGGCACCAAAATAAGAATACAGTTTTACGGCGCACACTAATGACATCATAATCATATATTGTTCTAAGCCTGCACTTGGATATAGACATGTGACGTCATTGGTGTTTCCCAGCGATCGATGGCCTGATAACTCATTTGAGTAGAATCTAATGTGACATTTAGAGGCTTCTATCACGGATAGGTAAAAGTTAAAACGGGCAACCATCCCTTAATGCTCTTTTGACTCAATAGCTTACGCAAAGGTTTGTCTTGTACATACAAATACGTTTGTTTCATCTATCAAAACTTATATTATAAAGCTGGAGAGTTTGTTTATTTGTTGGAATGTCCTAATTTCAGGAAATATTGGTTCGAAATAAAATTTCTTTTTGGTTTGCTTGGACCATTTATCGAGGAAAACCAATAGGAGCAAAGAGCCAAGAAATTATAAAGATTTATTATTTTTTAAATAATCTCAAAAATTGCTCGCGACGGTATAATATATCTATCTTTTAAGATTAACTCAGAAGAACGCGGCAGCGAACGAAGTAGTGGGTAATATCTATAATTTATAGAACTGAGGTCAAACAAAAATAAGTAAATAAAAATCGCGAGTACAGCCAGTGTATAAAAAAATATGTAGTTTTGCTTCATATAAAGCTGTCAGTATCTACCCACCTACCTACATACTTTTAACTTCCATTCCCTAACATTTCCAAAAAAAAACAATTCGTATGTAAAAAATCACTTAAACAAATAAACATTTTATTAAAGAAGATATACTGAAAGCAAATTCTATTTCTGGTGTTATATAATTTGTCGGCGCTTTATTGCCTCCATTTTCACAATCAAAATCGTATTACTTCATATTTAATAAAAATAAAGGTGAAAATACGTATTTTTCTAAATAATACTTAATTAATACAGCGTATTTTTTCTCGTTCTAAGTTTTCAAAGCGAAACGTTATTTGAAATCCGAGCTTTATTAAATAATAAAAAATAATACGTAACTTGTCAGATAAAATAGTCCCCACCGATACAGGTTCAAGGTCGTGTCGTCCTTTTGATTCGGTCCGGTCCTAGTTTGCTTATAACAACTTACCTTGCATACAAGTAATTAATTGGTCTAATACCACGTACGCATCGAATGTTCTACACACTATACGGATCCTTAAAGAGTGTTTAGGGGTAAAATACAGCATGTGCTTTTTATTTGCTTATATGCTGTATGTTGCATTCGGCAATATGTTGATATTTGATATATTACAAAAACTTTGCTACTTTTTCTGTTTCATCTTAGTCACGTAGTGAAGAAGCATAACTTTCAGTTTTATTAAAACTAAGATTTAAGTATATATGTTACTTCAAGCAAAGCCAAATCTATAGGCCTAGCGTAGAGGAAAAAAACGGGGGAGAGTTTTTTTTTCCCCTTTTTAAGGGTTTTTTTTTTGGGGAGGGGGGGCCTAAATTTTTTAAAATTTTTTTTTTTTTTTTTGTTATTTATTATCATACATACGCTTTTTAGTTTCAAACAATCGATTAGTATTTCTTTTTATTATATAGATTCTAGGCTGTGTGGAAAAAATAAAAAATATTAATTCTATACATAAAAATTCGATTATAAAATGAAAAAAATTACGACTCGGGCGGGATTTGAACCGGCATCTGTGATGTTGCTCTAACCGATTAAGCTAACGAGTCCTATACGTCATAGTCGAATTTTTTCAACTTATTGATACATGCACCTCTCGCGCAAGTCCTATGCGAGTCGTATTTTTTATATTTATATTGTGCGATCATCTGCAATAACATGTCAAAAATATTAAAGTTTTAAAATACTTATTCTGTAAATTAAAACACCCTTTATATCTAAACAATGATGCATTGAGTATATTCAAGACGCGTATAAGTCCCGATGGCCTGTCCTTGCGATGTGCCGAAGTGCCAAGAATTGGGTGTCATCACTGTCCCGTATATATTAGCTGCAGGAGACCAAACCAAGTCAGTGTTCTGTGAACGGTTAAAACAAAACAACAATTCAAAATGTTCAAATTCGTAAGTGATTTTTGATTAATTCTATAGAAAGTCATATTTAAGTGTTCTAAATTCAAAATTAAATATTTATCTTTTCCGACTGGTTTTTACGTTCTAAATTTTGTTTGAACCATTTTATCGAGCCCGTCCAATGAATCAAGGAGCTTCGTGGGTTCGACCCCTACCGGGTCTACCATTTTTGAACATTATTTTTTTTCACATCGCCGTCCACAGACGAAAAAGCTGTAAAGTTTAATCCCATTTCGGTTTCAGACAGCCAAAATATTCTATAATGCACGATTGTTTTTTGTTAATTTTTTATGTCGCCTAATGAATAACAAACCGATTTATTATTTTTTCTTAATCTATACCATGTAATTTTCTACTGTCCGTAGTTTACGCGGTAGTACATATTTAAACAAAATATTTTTACGGTTTAAATTATTATTTAAATGTAATTTTCTAGAATAAAATTGCTTTATGTTTTTGTAATAATAGTTGAGTACAGAAGTTGTGTTAACGAAAACCTTTGATGTTGCATTGCGGCTTAACAGAACGGATTGTATTACTAGTCACAGAAATGTTAATCCGATTATAAAGGATATGCTAACAGACGGATTAAGTAGAACACTGAGTGCCTGAAGACTGATTACCTACATTTTGACAGGCTCGAATGGTAGCAATGTAAGGCTGATAATTAACGGGTTTAACATTTTTCTTATAAATTTTCTGAAACATATTGGGCTCCATCTGGAAATCCGGTCAATAAATGGGTGAAGAATATCGAAATTTTGTAATGAACCTCAGTCCATAAAAAAAGCCGTCTAGTTACTATATTATAATATACAGTTCTTAAAATATAAAATGGTTGTTTGAGCGCTGTCTTACAGACGAACAGTAGGGCAGTGCTGAAAATCAGTGTTTGTAGTTGCGGCAAACTTATGACGTAGGCCCGTTTTGGCATTCATTTCTTCAAATTAAACTTTGCCTTTTTATATCAATTACGAGGTTGTTGCCGCGACTTCGTCCGCGTAGAATAGTTATTTTATACGTCATTCGGGTCCCTTCCCTTCGTTCTTTCAAGATGGGCATATAGCGTCGCGGACTATTTTTTGGTAAATTTTTTTAAAAGAATCATTCGCCCATATATATATTTTGGGAATCTTGAACAGTTTTTTGCAAAGTACGCCCCGAATACCCATAATAATGAATAATTGTCACAAGAATTTTTCAAGTCTAACCCATAGTTCCAGAGACTAACGCGTTCAAACAAATAAACAAACTCTTCAGCTTTATATATTAGTATGGATTTTATTGTAACTACTTTTATTATTTTCTAGCATTGCAGTAATAAACGACAAATATTTTTTTAATAATTAAGAACTATTACGTTTAATTGCGTTTGGGGTTAAGTCTGTGAATTTCAGAAAAATCAAATCAATCATGTAACAGTTTGAAAAAAATTGGCGATGACGTGTAGAACACGGTAGCTCAATCGGTTAGAACAACAGCACAGAATCTTGTATGCCAGTTCAAGTCCTGCCCGAGTCGTAATTCTTTTCAAACAATTTTTTTTTTATGTATATAGTGCCATATCAAAAATATTAAAGATTTTCAAATCTATGTTCTCTTCTAGTTGGTCTTCCTCGCTGTGCTGGCTGTTGCAGTAGCCAAGCCTCTAGTGTACACCGCCCCAGTAGCAGCCGCCTACACAGCGCCTGTAGCCGCTGCCTACACGGCGCCAGTAGCTTATTCAGCGTACAGCGCATATCCTCCAGTAGCGTACTCAGCATACACTTATGCTGCCCCATACTCTTACTACTACTAAGATATCCCGATTTGAAATGACCTCTGCAATGTTTACTGTTTATTAAAGCTAATTATTACGCCAGTTTTGTCTTTTTTTAATAACTAGAAAAACGATTAAAAAAAAAATCGTTTTTCTAGTTAACATCTTTGATCAAAAGGAAAATATACTACAATAATAATCATAGGTTACATTTAGGTAGTAAAAACTACAGTATTTAGTAGTTGGTCACACTTGGTAGACCAACATGACGGAACGTTGTGTTGTGTGTTCGAGGCCCAACCGTCCCAATCTAAAATAGGTTTAAATATGACTCCATCTCGAATTTCAACGAATTTATAGCACTTTTGTACCTAACATATTGTTTTAAAAATAATGTTTGTAACAATGAACCACGACCACATAAAGCGAAGCATAAAAAAAACAAAAACATAATATATACATGTTAATTAAATCTCAATATTTTAAATAATTAAACCACTTATATACACAACAATAATACACAAGATACTGTCTATAGTTTTGGATTCCGCCGGTTTCGGGTTTTTTGCAGCAGCCGTGGTCCCGGAGAGACAAAAATAGCGAGTAGTACACATTTAAATAAAACCCTACGCTCTCCATCTGTTCCGTCAAGCCGTGGTATTTGGCGAGACTCCCCTGACCACGGGTGCTTGCAAAGAATCTGAGTGGGCAAAGTTAAAAATCATTTTCAAATAAGTTTAACTAATATATCGCGTTTTAAACCGTTGAAGTGTTTAGTTTTCAAACCATTTTACACAACAAAATACACAAGATATTAAAGAAACAGACCATCAATACCTAATATGTAACATACGAATGACACTCCAGTCTAGGTAGCTAGACTCCTAAATATGTTTCCTGTAGGGTGGGTTCTTTTGTCCAGTCTGTTACCGTTACGTGTAGTACCGTACTTAACATTAAAATGTAATCTAGTCATATAATAGAATGAACAAAAACTTTCTAACAAGAAATGAAAGATGCCGTTTTTAACAATTACGACACAGAATTAAAAATTTAAATCGATTTTAGGTGCTAGGTGCTGTTTCTCTAACCAATTGAGCTACCATGTTCTAAACTTTGTCTTTGAATTTTTTCAACCTATTATTACATAAACCTCTTTCGCAGTGTAATTTTAAGCTTAATGACTTCAGATTACGGATATTTACACATTACAATATCCTTTGCTTAGGTAAATCATTAAAGTTGAAATTATAAAGTTTAACTAGTGCGATAACATGTGAAAAATGTTAAAGTATTTAAACAATTACGTCTAAGTTAACTACAGTTAAATCCACCGGCTCTGAGCTGTAATTTTGTTAGCAGCAAGGTCGCGAAAGAAAAGATGATTTCAGATACTTATGTTCAGCCATATTAGCGATAACGTAGTATTATACATTCTTTTGTTTACGGGAAAACCGAGAACCATTCAGGGAGACCTTGGGTATTGAATGCAAATCACCGACTCCATAGACTTGTCTATCCGACAATACTTTGTTCGATTGGTCTCTTCCAAAATATATAAGTTTAAAAAATTTTGCCATCTTCAGTTGCTCATACATTGCTGAAAGTACAAGACAACATGATTTCTCTACTGGTAAGTAAAATTTTGTATTTAAAGTAAATAAAGTAATTGTAATAAAAAATATATTATTATTATCTATACTAATATTATAAAGCTGAAGTGTTTGTTACTTTGAACGCGCTAATCTCAGAAACTTCTAGTTCGAATTGAAAGATCATTTTTGTGTTGGTTGGACTATTTATCTAGGAAGGTTAGGCTAAAACATTAGACTGCGACTTATAGAAGCGCAGAAACAGAGGGAAAGAGTTATTCGAGACAATTTTCACACATACGTTCAAGATACCCAAAAAGCTCTTATATAAGAGAGAATAATTTTTCTTTAAATAATATAAAAAAATCTCCGAGCGTCTATCTTTTAAGATTAACTTGCAAGAACCGTTCTTTTTAACTTGAATCAAATTGGTTTGAAATAATAGCAAAAGGGCGTTTGCCAGGTCAGCTAGTGTTCAATTGAAGGATGCATGTTTATCGTTTTTCTAGAATATAGTTTACTAAAGTTTGAAATAAATATTGCGTATGATTTTAAACATCCATTTTATTTCTCGGTAGTAAGTTAAACTTTCTTATTAACACTATATGATATTGAAAAATATCTAAGTTTTACCCTCAATTCCGCCTGCTTATATAACCTAATGCTTTCTACTCTCTTTGAATTTATAATAATATTCACCCACGCATATTATAGAGTATAAGGACTTTTACTGATTCTAATAAATATAGTAGAGTGCGTTATTTTCCTTTTCTTTGTATATCCATTGATTTCTTACGTTTGTATTTTTTTTAAATATCTTAGTTTATTTATTTAATAATTCACATATAAAATCCATAATACAAAAGAAACTTGAATCTACCACCGACAGCAAATCATACTTTATACGATTTAATTAATTTCTTCCTAATAATAAAAAAATAATGTTCACAGGTAATTCTAGCCGTATTATCTGCTGTGTCAGCTGACCCAGCGGTCATCATAAGCAATGGCTTATTATCATCACCGTACACATCAGCTGCGTACATAGCATCGCCGTCTTCACCATTGGTAGTGCCTGCTGTTGCTCCTGTTGCTCCGGTTGCTTCGGTCCCAGCATCCTCCGTAGGTGCTCTGCCGTATACAGCTGTATCCGACTATAGATATTCATATGGCTCCGCACTCAGTTACCAAGATTACGCCCCAGTTGTAAGTTCTGCTGCGTTGTCTCTACCGTACACTTTGCCTTATGCGTACGCGTCGGACTGGTACTACCGGAAATAAGCTATTGGATACATTAGTCACCCACAATTCAATCAGTTATGATTTCAAGGTTATGTTTATTGTTGATATTATGTGCAATTCAAATAAAGTATTATGATAATCGATACTTGTTTTCTTAACATCGTTAGATGTAGTTAACATTATTCGTCTTTCTTCTTTTTTATTCTTCTGTCTGGTGTATAAAATGTAATATATTCTATATTTTAGCTTAGTACATTCCCGATTTTTCCATGGGGTATGGGGCTTACACATTTCTGTCAGCGTTATACTGATCGGTTTTATTTACAGGCAAATAGGTGATCAGACTTCTGAGCCCTACCCGACCGAAGCAATGTATTGTTTTCCGGGGATTCGAATCCAAACCTTACGCGCTAGGCGTACGTATAACCATTTAGCTACCGAGGCGGTCAAGAGGTTTTCGGCGTCATTTAGTGACAGTATCATCTAATGACAAAAAAGTATGTGTATATTTAATATATATACGCATATATCATTTGTTATCTTACTACACGACACGACAGTATTTTATATTTTTAAAGAGACTCGAATAGATGCTTCTTTTATAACTTATTACTTGTAAATAAAACAAATATTGTAGAACGGAATGGAAAAATGTTAATAGTTAATTTAACATTGAACAAAAGGCACTAGTTATCGATAAATATTCATCTATTTAAACTTCAAACAAGTAATTATTTTAATAAACCCAGTCGTTAATTATGGATTGCTTATTTAATGAATTGTGTTATTCTCAAGTAGATTTATAGCAAAACTATGCAATGTCACTATGTTTTACTATCTTTTACTTACAATAGGTTTATTTATATAGGTACGTTTTAGAACACAATTCAATTTGTATTAACTGATGTCTACTCTTATAAATAAAACACTTTAACGGTTTAAAACACGATATATATTACTAGTTAAACTTATTTGAAAATTATTTTTAATCTCCCCGTGACCACGGCTGCTGCTAAGTACACAAAATAATTTTCAAATAAGTTTAACTAATATATATCGCGTTTTAAACCGTTATAATGTTTTATTTAAATGTGTACTACTCGCGTAAACTACACACAGTATTTCATGTCTATTCTCTATGCATAAATCTGATGTCACAAAATTGAAATTTCGTTGCCCCCCTGTGGGACATGGGGCGAACGCATTTCTGTCCGTTTAACTGTGTGGTTTTATTTACAGGCAAGAAATTGATCAGACTTTTATGCCCTGACCACGGGTGAGTCAGGAAATCACTGAGTCTTGGTGCAAATATTTCTGTGTCGGTTTCACTGATCGATTTTTTTACAGAACACAGCTTCATTAGACTTCAATATCCGTTCAATTTGTTAACCATTGAACCATGGAGACGACTCAAACGATTGCGGCGTATGATAATAAAAATACCAAGTATATATAAAATTTATATTAAATTTGCATTACAAAATCAGTGATCACGGGGAAGGGGGTCGTTTAAATTTAAAGCCATGGTCGTAATGTGGTCCAGGTTTTTGGTAATGTTAACGTACAAAGTAATTATACGCGTAAGGGTATGCTCCATAGGCAGTAGGGACGTAGCCATTGTAATAGGTAGCGGGGAAGGCAGCTGGTGCTGTGTAGGCGAAGACCTGGGGGTCAGGCTTCGGGTTGGCGAAGGCCACCGCTACGAGAGCGAAGAAAAACAGCTGAAAACGGAAGAAAAATTAATTAGCTTCGGCATCGCAGGAGTTTGACATACTCTTGTAAAACATTGCTTCTTGCATATAGAAAAAGTGAACTCCCATTTCCCCCTGTGAGACACGGGGCTAACACATTTATTCGTTTAAATAAAAAACTTTAACGGTTTAAAACGCGATATATATTATTTAAACGTGTTATAACCGTGACCACGTGGAGACACGGCTACTGCAAAGCACCCGAAGTGTAGGCCACAATTAAAAAATAATTTTAAAATAAATTTAACTAATATATATCGCGTTTTCAACCGTTAAAATGTTAAATGTGTACTATTCGCGTAAACTACAGACTTTAAGAAGTTGATCTGTGGCTTGCCTGCCGCTTTATTGTTTTCCTTCAAACCCAAAACCCGCGCTTTACCCATTGCCATTTAGCTAAATAGGGGTCCCTCTGATATTGTCCCAAAATAAAATATAGATCAATTAAACTTACACTGAAATACTTAACGTAGATAGATTTGACACTGTCCTTGTATTAAAAAAGTTTTACACCACATTGGTTCGTTAATAATTTTAATGTTGGAAAAAGCACAGCCAATGGTGTAGAACATATTATACAAGATCAGGCATTAATATTATACCACAAGAGAGTTTTTGTGTAGTCAAATTGTTATGTTGAAGTTAGAAACATATTATACCGCATCTTAATATGTCGTTATATAAATAAATTTGTATTTCTAAAAATGTAATATCACCTTATACTTGAATGTAACTATGTTTACTAACACATGAATGTAGTCTGAAGGGCGGAAAGGTCAAAAGTCAGTTCAGAAGACCACATTAGGCTTGGGATGTATGTACACATTTAACACAACACATATGTGATTGAATATTGTAAACATAAGTAACAAGTTTAGTAGCCGATGTAATAACGAGTAAATATAACTTTAGCTTATCTAAATATTCTGTAATTTACGCGAGTAGTACACATTTAAATAAAACACTTCAACGGTTTAAAACGCGATATATATTAGTAAAAATATATTTTAACTGGTAACGTGGTAATGAAGGGACACCGCGTCTCTCCGTGACCACGCCTGCTGCAAAGCATTCGAAACGTCGGCCAGTAGTTAAAATGTTATGCTTTAATTTAGCTTTTTGCTTTAAGTTATTTTTTTAATATATTATGTTGAATAAAATACATTGAGCGGTTTAAATCCCGAAATATTTGACGTTATTTTTGTATTCTCGAACCACATATTTAAAAATTATGAAAATTAATATGTTTTTTAAATATAATTATTGGAATTATAATTAAAATTAATTTCTTATTATTATTGCCGCGACTTTTTTAAATACTAAACACGAAATTTTAGTTTTATCTTTCTTTCAGATCACATTTTTTTCGTTTTACTTTGTATTCATTTTTAAGAATCTTTTAAATTAGCTGGCCAATTAAAATTAGCTCAGTATTTTAGGCACTAAATAAAATTCTAAAGCCTAATAGTGATTAAATAGCGTACTGCGCTCTCGCCTATGCGAATTATTAATTTTAGTTTGTTCATATTAAAACTTTACAAATAACCTTGCAAATATGAAAATAACCCAAGAAAGCTTATAAAATCGAACTTCATAGAATCAATTAGGTAACTGATTGAATTATTTTATTGTCAAAGTTAGTTTGACTTTACTTAAAACTGTATTATGTTATAATACAATGTTCTATTGATAACAACTTTAGGTGTAACTTTCAAGTTGCCTCTAATTATTAGACTACAATTATGTTCTTATAATATAATATTTAATTTAATGTTGGCAACACTGGCTAAATATATTTAATGTCTGATTATTGCAATGTGAACATAGAAAATGTATGTTTAATCGAACCCAATCAATGAAAAATTTGATGAAACACCTATATCTACATCTCCAAAACAACTCATTGGTTAGCAAGATATTTCGCGCTATTAGTTAGCTAAACAAGCAAGCTTTTCATGTTATTTCTTTAACGAAAAATTTTAAAAATCCTCGTTACGCAATGAATTAGTCAAAAACAAAAAACATAGTCAACATTATAACTGCACCATAAAATTATTTTATTAAATAGAAACCAAAAAATATGGTAAAAAATATTTATGCGTCAGAATATGTCAATCTTTAAAAATCAACTCGTAAGACTTTTTAATTGTAATCAAATTTGTTCGATATTAATACATTATAATGACAATTTTTTTTATCAACACTTGACTTATTAATCTTGTTAATAACAAAACAACGTATACCGAAAGCCGTTCTAGTGTCACGTAAAATTAATTATTTATTTATATCCTTATTAAGTGTTATAGGTATTGCAAATTCTTTTTTAAACAAAACACTTTAACGGTTTGAAACGTGATATATATTATAGTTTTAGTTTTTTGTCTCCCCGTGACTACGGCTGCTGCAAAGCATCCGAAACGTAGTTAAAATAATTTACAAATACGCTTAACTTATACTTATCCCGTTTTAAACCATTAAAGTGTTTTATTTAAATTGTTTTTTGTTTCAATTACAAAATTGCAAGTTGAATTTTGAAAAAAGTACTCACGAATCGGAAGAACATTTTGCGTTTCTCTTGGATGGGATTTCTCAAGTGATGCTTATCAAACGATTGCTCCAGTTTATATACATTATTGACCACGCCTTGTCTCTATGTTCATAATTATTTATTGTCCTTGATCTTCAAAGTAATGTATTCGATGTACTAACAAATAGCTTATATCCGCAATGGGCGGTTTCGTTTTGCGATTACCTTAGGGTTCCGCAGATAACTTTCTCAAATGGTCTTGTATAAGATAACCACAGACGTTATAAAGAGCAGTGTAATTGTTGATAAGGTTATAAGGCTTTGGTTACTGAAACACTATTAAATCTAAATTTTGTTTTACCTTTAATCTTCAGTTTACAATGACTAGATGGACGTATTTATAACATTTGTTGTGACGGACAAGTAGGTACGTCTGATTGAAGGTAAAAAATACTTAATCAAGCGAGATTTATCAAATTTTCGCCATTTAACACAATGTATTATAAATAAATATATAAATAAATATATATATATATATATATACATATTATATAAATATTATTATTAAGATTAGTTAGGCTTTAGCTACTTTATTTTTCACCCTTCCTTGAACATGGTACCTGAAAAGCATTAAGGTGTTGTTAAAAATAAACTACCTAAAATATTATAAGATTAAAACCGTTAGAATTGTTTTATTTATTGCCAGGCTCTAGTATTTATTAATATGGTGTTCCATGAAAATATTACACAAAATAATATGTTAATTTTTTTCTTTTCCCAAACATAAAATTTGTCTAATGCGTAAGCGACTTCCGTTCGTATGATCGATAGGAAGTTCGATCCGGGTCGTGCACTTTAGTAACAAGTGCAACTTCAAGTCTAAAATCTCGAATTGATCCATCCGCCAACATGCATTTGTTCGGCGTGATAGTTTTAGACATATACAGACTCATGTTATAAGATAGTAAATTCCTAAAGGACATTGATAATTATTTAAAAGCCCTGACTAGTACACACGTTTCTCACTCCGATGATTAAGTTACAACTATGTAATTGTGTAAGACATTTTATGGGCAAATATATGTACATATTAATGGATACTATGCCACAGTACAATACCTTCATATTCACGTGTAGAATAATCATTAATACATTCAACAACTCAGAAATTATTGCGTATGACCATCAAGTCTTTATGACTTTTATAGCTACATTAAAACTGAGAAAAATCAAGGAATTCCGCGAAAACAATGCGAATTCATAAGTTTTGGTTATTGCGTTTAAAGATTAAGTAATAAGATTACACCTAATTGTTATATAAATGGTCAGATTCTATTTAGATCCAGGTCGTTAAAAATAATTATGCATTATCATATAAGTCAAACACTTTTAACGGTATAAAACGCAAATATGTTATTAGCTTACCTCATAACTTACTTTAAAGGTTTTATTTAAAATGCAATACCTAGATTGAAAAGTCGTTGATCAGACAAAAGTCTACCGTGCGTGTTCTATATTCTTTGTTGTGCGAGAAGTTCCATTTTTTCTTTCTTTTGGGCGATTTGCTCCTTCTTGTGCGATGGGTATCCGAAATGTTTTCCCACACAGAAGACTTTGCAATGTTTTCCGGGATACATACTTATAGTGTTTAAAAAGGTAATTTTTACAGGTAAAATAAAATATACTTACATTTTTAATAATTTATTGCTTATCGCTAAAAAGGCACAATTAGGTCAATATTATTAAAATTTGATAGGAATTCTTTATTTAGTAAGGACGAGGATTGTAACCTTACAGACAACAAATGTAGTATTTTATTATAAAATTCACAATATTTTGTGTAATTTACATAGGAAGTCTCTTAACATTGAATATTTAAAAATCGCGATGTTACGCTGCCGGTCGTAGTTATATCTTTGAATATTGAATGCTAAATCAACAAGCTTTGTATGCTATACAACAGAAAGTAAAACGTATTTTTTTTTGTAGATGTTTTTCCATTTTATTCCGTTAAAATGTAAGATTAGTAATATCCGTTGTACCCATAGTTGTATGGATAGTTAGAATAACCACCATAGCCGCTGTAGGCTAACGGGTTTGAGTAGCCTGAGTACCCCGAGTATCCAGGGTAACCACCATAACCTGAGTAGCCACCATAGCCCGGGTAACCACCAGCGTAGCTGTTGTAACCGTATCCGGAGTATAGTTGTGGTCTAGCCATGGCGAACGCCAGAACAGCGAAGAGGATCACCTATAAGAATTAATAAATAATACATTTACTGAGACAAATATTTGTACGATTAAAATGAATAGTAATTAAAATAAGAAGAATGAAAAAAACACAACTTTAAACTTTGTGCTGAAAACCGAAAGATTCAACTTGTGTTCAATGTAAGCGCTGATTTTCAGTCTGTCGCTTATCAGATAACAAGAAATTTACTTCGTATAGTCGTAAGCTATTACAATTACAAGTTACTTTAAGTTTCCCTATGTGGAATATAGGGCGAACACATTTCTGAGTCCGTTTCATTAAATCTATTTAGGCAAGTAGTTGATTAAACTGTGCCCTGCCCGACCGAAGCGGGCTAAAGAAGCGGTCGTTAAACATATTTATTTATCCCGTCATTTAAAAACTGAACAAAATTGATTCTCTGGAAATATATTCGATTTACTATAAGATTTTTCCAAAAAAATTGGTGGTTTTATCCAAGTTAAATATTTAACAAACAACACGAACTTACCAATTTAGCGAACATAGTGCCTCAATATTTTAATTTGTACTTTTAGGCAAGTAATTGGGTCTATGTACTCCTCGTGCCTCCCACTCAAGATTCGCAACCGTACTGTTGTATTTTATGAATTTAGTAACATTTATATATTAAGCGAGTCCTTGAAATTAGTTATTACGAAAAGGAAAAACTACAAAAGAACTCATTGGGAATCAATGTAAATTATGAACGCAGAAAAACGTCGGAACGAGCACTACATCAACAATTAGGTTGCCTTTGTTTTGCCACAATGCTCGGAATTATAAACAGTCTCGAGACAAATATAGTTATGTGTCATTATTTTTATAGAGCCTACCTTTGGTGTGATCTGTCAAGGCAAATATGGAAACAATTCAAAATTACCTTTATCGCAACTATGCGACAAAGTTATATATTATAATAAGACACTTTAACGGTTCAAAACGCGATATATATTAGTTTAACTTATTTGGAAATAGTCTAACCAGGATTGCTGCGTAGCATCCGAAAATTTGGGCCGTGGTTAAAATAATTTTCAAATAAGTTTAACTAATATATTTCGCGTTTTAAACCGTTAAAGTGTTTTGTTTAAATGTGTACTAATCGCGAAAACTACAGACAGTATATTATTATAATATGATATAAAATTAAGGCAACAACATTAACAATTGTCATACATTTTTCTTTGAAATTCAGAGAAATGAGTGGTACAATTAAATTCTTATAAGAGATGCAGGCCTTTTAATTATCAAAATAATATTTCCTATTTATAATTCTACGTGTTGAATTTAAGTCAGTTATATTTTTCAAGTGAAGAGGAAGTTAATGTTATAAATAAATGTTTTTTTTCTCTAAAACCCGATTACGAGTATCAGCCAGCTCTAAGTTTAAATCACCATCAACCATGTTTTGGCGCTTATGACCCCATAACAGTGAACAATTTAGTCATATACCCAAACATCAAGCTATGAAATCGATTCAAAACACAAACACGAAAGATACCCCTACGTCATGGATCGGTTACAGAATTATTATTTTAATCCGTTACCTAACAAAGGCGTAAACAATAACCTTTCCATCAAGTAGAACATTTACGAAGTATACGATTACATAAGGATTATAAGATACATGTTTTAATAGAAATTCAATTTGTGTGAAGATCTTCTATCCGTCTATACTATGTCTTTATAAATATAAAGCTGAAGAGTTTGTTTGTTTGAACGCGCTAATCTCAGGAACTGCGAGTTCGAATTGAAACATTATTTTGTGTTGGTTAGAGCATTTATCGAGGAAGGCTATAGGCTATGAAATATATCGCTGTGACTAATAGGAGCGAAGAAAGCGGAAAATTAATCTATAAAGATAAAGAAAAGGTATGCAAAAACCAAATTTTGATCCCCAAAATATCTATTCTATACGAAGTTACTGACACAGCTAGTGTATTTACATGAGGACACAATATCTCAACAAAGTAAAGTATATATATTTTTTATTAATTTATTAATGGACAACATTTTTCGTATCATTTCTTAGTTAAGTTAGACAATATTCAATCTTTACCGTTATGTACTGTATAAAACACGTATAACAGTTTAAAAGGCGAAATATACGCCTTTCAATGCATTAGAAACGTCATGTCGTAAGAGAAAAAATAACAAATGCATTTCGCTATTAATATGTTTAAAGAAATTCAAAATTCGAAGAATTCAGAATTTAATTGTTCTAGAATAAATACGTTTTACTTCAAGAGTTGTAAACCAGTGTTTTGCTAAGGAATTTTAAACACAAAGTAGGTGCGCGTTTTGTTACGCCATTACATCGCACTTGTGCAAATTAGAATATTAATTAGTTTAATAATTAGACAATACGTGAAAAACATTTATTATTTTAACACGGCACTTCACACTTCATCCATATTTTTTCTTATCGATGGAAATAACATGTCAACCGTGGATTATGCAAATTATGGCGATAACACAATTAACTTTCCCCCCAAGCTTCATCGTGATTCCAAGAAAACCTTGTTGCTTTTATAATGTGAATTATGATGGAAAGACATAACAATAAAAATCATTGTACTTTTTGTTATTAGTAACTTTTACGACCAACCAATTTTGCATGGTTTTTAACAACGTTCCCTAATAAATTAGTTCTCGTCAAAAACTAACTTATTTTATATAAATAAATATAAAAATAAAACAATGTGGTATATAAATAAAAAGACTTGGAGCGCTACAAGGATTTAGACATACAAAATTAATAAAACATTTTCATTATATATATGTATTTAAATGCAATTTTTTTAAATGTCCAAATTTTTTAAAAGTTCTGTCTGTAGTTATAATGATTTGTAAATAAGTTTAGTTAATATATTTCGCATTTTGAACCGTTAAAAGTCTATTACAAATGTAATATAATATATAAGTAAACAAAATTTTACACTCACGGATATGAAATATAGATTATAGCCAGAGTCAGAACGACTGAATATGCCTGTAAAAATTGCTCCAGCCGATTCGGACGAATGTGTCAACTTTGTGACAGGTTAATCTTGTAAATTAGATAAACAATAAATGAAAATAATTTATTAGTTACAATGAGAGTTAACCTAAAAATATACCGGTATATATCTATTTGTTGAAAGAAAAGGCAATATGGAGATAAAATTAATTTATTATTATTTATTGTTAACAAAAGCCGACAGCTGTTCAAATCATCAAAATTGCTTGCTTAACGAAAATAATAGTCAACTGGGTATCCAGGGTAGGCTAAAGAAGCGTACTGTGCGTTGTATGGTGAGATGATGGATGGCACTGAACCAGGGTACACATAATCCAGACCAGCGGTGTAAGTCAATAGCTGAGGAGCTGGATCCGGCTTTGGCGCGGCAAGCACGCCGGCTATAAGAGCTAAAAGTCCGAGCTGTAACAAAAAAAAATCCTATTGTAGATTACTTAAGATATTTTCAACGGATTAAAACAAGATATATTATTTAAATAAAACACCTCAATTGTTTAAAATGTTAGTTAAACTTATTTGAGAATGATTATTAACTTCGGCCCGATGTTTCGGATGTTTTGCAGCAGCCGTGGTCACAGGTCTCCCCGGCTGCTGCAAATGTGTACTACTCGCGTAAACTATAGACAGTATTTAAGTGATTATATATGATTAAAATATTGCAATTTCTATAGTTTTAATTCTATTGGGTACTAGGCATTTTGTTTAACTTATCAAATTTATTTATAGTTATAGAAATTTAGTGCCCTGCCTGACCGAACCTATTACATGTTATAGAGATTTGAACCTAAGACCTCTCGCAACGTACTTACACATCGCGTTTAAAAACGAAGAAAATTATTCATATTTGTAGTATGTGTTTGTGTACGGTGCGTGGACTGCAAACACGTTTCAATATATCCTCTAAAAGTATAATTTCTCTTTAAATGATATAAAACACTAAATGTCTATCTTTTAAGATTAACTTGCAAGAACGAGGACCTATACTTATTATATATATATATGTTTTTTTTTTTTTTTTTTTTTTTTTCCCTTAAATTTAAAGAGTTGAACAGAAGGTTTGCAAATCAACTTTCGATGCCCAAAAGACTTTTCTACGCGGACGGAGTCGCTGACACGGCTAGTACACAATATAGCGCTAGAACTATCTAGAACATTTGATTCTTTTTAACCATTTATCGATATATCCTTTGCAAGCGCGAAGCATTGTTTTAATACGTAGTTGAGTTATCTTACATTTATTATGCAGTAAAAAATTCGATGATAAACAGGTTGAATCTAACATTGTAGGTTTTTTGTGAAATAAAACTTAATTAACTGTTTTGAATTTAAAGCTGTATTAATTATTTAAACACTTTTAAGGCAACTAATATATTTTGAGTTTTAAACCGTTATTTTTTTATTTAAATACAACTACTCGCGCTAAGTACAGACTATGCTTTAAATGACTACGTTCAAATAAAAAAAGCTATAGTATATTTTAAGTGGAATTGTACTCTCTGAGTATTTTTTTTTGAATAATTTTCTATTAAAAGCGATTAAAATAGCAAAAGAGCCTGATAGAATAAAAACTGAAAGTCTATTAATTTTAAAATAAGATTTGCCTTCGAACTAAGAATACAATGATTTTTAATTGAAAAGATGAGATAGAAGCGCTACACGTGTACATCAAGCACAATGAAAAGAGTTCAACGCTTCTTTGTCGTCGGTCTTATACTACCTTCATCATAGTTATTTTTAACGTCTACCTTCTTTTTTTATTTATTTTCACTTAGAATAATATACGCTATCGGGATATGAGATTTTAAACCCGAAGTACCGATAATACATTGTAAGTAGTATTTACTTTTAGCTACACTTGCTTTATTTACTGTAGTAGGATCGTAAATAGAAATAAAATAATTGAAAGTATTAAGTATTAAAATAATGATTTTCATTTAAACAAAACACTTTAACAGTATAGAACGCGATATATATTAGTTAAACGTGTTTCAAATTTAATTTAATTACGGCCCGACGTTTTCGATGCTTTGCAACCGTGGTCACGGGGAGACTAAAGCTGGAGGATGCCTCTGACGTCAAAGTAACGCGTTTTAAACCGTTGAAGTGTTTTATTTAAATGTGTACTTGCGTAAACTACAGACAGATATATAGAGCGATAATAGTTTTGTATCTATTTATAAATTTAATATATATTAGATTAGATTATTATATTAGTTGAGCCAAATAAAAGGAATTGAAATAGTTTTTTTTTTTATTATTAAATATACGATATATATTTTTATATTTAAATATGAAAAGCGAAACTTAAAGCCCCTTACGTAAGTCCCGATGTAATATTTACATAGGATAAATATTATTTCTAAGCTATTATGTGTTAGTTATCAAGTTGGGAAAACTTGTATAATAGTCAAACATGGCTTACCGCTCTGTAGAACATTTCAGGAGGTTTGTTTGTCAAAGTATTGATTAGTGATGAAACAGCCAATGGATTATATACAGTAAAGTTCGCCTTGAACTTCAAAATACAATAAGCTTCAATATGGTAACGACATTATGACTTTCCGGACGTAATCGTTAGACAAATTGTAGTTATTCAATGAGCTACCTACACTATTGTCCTAATTTGAATGTCTTATTGTGTGCCCTATGTGGGGCAGATACATCAATGTTTACCAGTTCCTTTTATGTCACGTGGACTGTGCTCTTCCCATTTGAAAGAATTTAAGTGGAATGTACTAGGTCTAGACTATTTTAGGCTTTGACGAGTTCGGTTGTAAAATGTTAGCAACGGCTAATAATCAACATTTTTCTAATCTAGTTATAATTTTCTGATACATGTCATGCTTCGTTTGGAAATCTATATAATTCATGGGTGGTAGGAATATCGAAATTCCGTCCGGGTCACGAACCACCGTCCACAGATGAGAAAGCCGTGAAGTTTAAAAACGTTTCGGTGCCAGCGTGTGGATATGCGAATATGCAAAGCCGAAATGGGTCGGTAACGCATCTTGTTTAGATGCTGGGTTATTTCACCATAAAGTGAACATCGTACTTGTCTGAACTCTATCATAAAAAAAATACAACGAACTAAGAATAGTTTTGGGAACTATTTTTAGATTTAAATAAAACACTTTAACGGTTTAAAACGCGATATATTAGTTAAACTTATTTGAAAATGATTTTTAACTTCGGCACGACGTTTCGGATGCTTTGCAGCAGCCGTTCCCGGGACCACGACTGCTGCAAAGCATCCGAAACGTCGGGCCGAAGTTAAAAATAATTTTCAAATAAGTTTAACTAATATATCGCGTTTTAAACCGTTAAAGTGTTTTATTTAAAGGTTAAGTAAATTTAAAGAATAACTTCCTCACTATTTTAACCCGCTCCTAATGCTGAGCAATCCACGAAGCCAGTGAGCGATTATGAATTAGTTTAAACAAACAATAACATAATTAATGTAAATTAAGATATCGTTTCGATCTTTATAATTGCCCTTCAACAATTCATTTTTACCTTAAAATGTGTATTATATTTAGTTAGTATAGATAAACATCAATGAATGAATATTAATGTTCGTACCTACAACGTATTACCCTCAGTCTAATTTTAAGTAGGTAACATCGCTATATTATATTATGTAAATACGCCTGGTCGTATTTTACAATAAATGTCGAGCGAAATAATTTATTTTGTTTTCATTAATATATTTTTATTAATATTACTCGCGTAAATAACACACAACATTTCTAACTATTATTAGTGTCGGCCAGCTTACTGCTGGCTTGGCTTGACTTCTGAGCCAAGCCAAGCCGGCAAGCCAAGATATCTGTATCTTATCACCTTTGTAAGGCTGTTTGAAAGACCCACCGCGCTGTTCCATTGCGGCAGGAGGGTTTTAGTTTCAAACTCCGAGCTGGAACTAAAAACAATCTTAGAATGTTACGCACAAGGTAGTGCCGACTGACCTTTAGCCTGGAAGAGATCGCCTGTTTAGCGGTAATGCCGCCTTTTATTTATATGCTAGCTCATATGGTGTTTATAAATGATAAAGTTTTAAACATAAAATAATGAATGCATATAGAATAAATAATACATTCTTTCTGTTGATAGAGTGACACAGTTTTGGGCCAGACGTTGCCAACGACGAACGCGCCAGGTCGGTAAATACTTCAACTACGGACCATGATTGGAATACATAAACTGCTTTGTTCGCCAATCACAACTGATGTTTATCAGTTTGGCAACCGTGAAAATAGTTCACACAGTATTGTGCATTGATCGAAAGACAAAAAAACAACAAAATAACGTTATTTTTATATATGATAGAGGAGGACAGAGAAGCATGAAGTACTTACTGCCTACTGGGGTACCGTGCTTTATTCACTTGATGCTAGGTGAAATAACCCAGCTACATAACATATAAACAGGATGCACTATCGACCTATTTTGGCTTTCCATATTCGAACAACTACAGACTCCAACTGAAACGCGATTAAACTTCACAGGTTTTTCATCTGTAGTGGTAGTTCGTAACCCACCCATTCATAACCAGATTTCCAGTTGTCCTAACATGTTTCATAACAAATTATCAAGTCGATTAGTCAAAAAATCCGGTGGGGATCAAACTCGCGACCCGTTAATTATTAACCATACATTGCTATTCCACCAAAAAGCATGTCATCAGAGTTAAGATATAATCAGACTCGTGCATGAAGAAGTCTAAAGAAGAGAACAGAAGAGAGAATGTTCTAAATACTGTCTATAGTTTACGCGAGTAGTACACATTTAAATAAAACATTTTAGCGGTTTAAAACGCGATATATTAGTTAAACTTATTTGAAAATGATTTTTTTTTAACCGAGCTTTGCAGCAGCCGGGTCTCCCGTGACAACTGCTGCAAAGCTCCGATGTTTTTAAGAGAAAGTGTTTTATTTAAAAAGAGAGAAGGTTCTATTAAAATATTGGTCTGCAAGCGTTTATTTATATTTAATAACAAATAAAAAATTTATATATCTCATGCATTTAACAATTATAAGCAAATATAAATTTACTAAAGAACTAAACTAAACCAAAACAGAATTACGGAAACATTTTTTGTATTGTTATTTGTTTTTTGTCCAGTTCTAATTCCTGTAGTGTTTGATACACACACATCGCCTCTAAGCAACTGCTTAACATAGCTGCTACACAGTATAAAACAAAGTCGCTTTTTCTGTCCCTATTTACGCTTCAATCTTTAAAATTATGCAAATAATCTTGATGCGGTTTTTTAATAGCAGTGATTCAAGAGGAAAGTTTTTTATACAAAACATTTACAGTTTTTCTGTAGTATATTGCGTATCAGCATTGCACCCGAGTGAAGCCGCGGCGGGTCACTAGTATAAATGCAAACGATGAAACAAGGTAATATAATTTGGACTTTGTATCTTATTAATGAAGTTTTAAAAATCATCTCAAAAGTCAGTTAAAAGTCTAATAAATGATTTGTTTTTGAATTTAAGATTCCTGTGTAACTTATAACTGACTAAAAGTTAACATGTACTCTCATTTATATTGTGTTTATTTATATATGTGTCTCTCAATTATATTAACACATAACAATCTCATTAAAACCATGCACTAGTGTGCACAATAGCAAATGTTATGCGCAAAAGTTGTCGTCGTATAATTATTTTCATAACACTCGAATGCACTTGACGTAATATGTGTTACGGACTGTCCGGTGTTACGTAACCCAAAACTATTGATAGATATTATTATGTATTAATCCTAACTGTCATCGAAATACCTTCTAATGAACTGGACGTAAATTCTGTACGCTTTGTTGTTTAAGGTTACGGTCTCATAGAAACGGAGTACGACGCGTAGCTAGATAGTCATCCTGTCGATTGCCTGTTCTTTACCAATTTGCAAAGTAAACGCAATGGATTGTAAATTTTACCCTTTTACTTTACATTATCCTTACTAATATTATAAATGCGAAAGTAACTCTGTCTGTCTGTTACTCTTTCACGCTAGAACTATTGAACGGATTTGAATGAAATTACAGGTACACAGATGGTCTAGAACCTGAGAAAGAACATAGGCTACTTTTTATTGCAAAAGGGGGTTGTAAGGGGTTAAAAGGGGATGTGAAAGTTTGTCGTGTTCTGAAGCTAGAACAATAAAAAACTTTCTTCTTTGGCTTTTTGGGAATAGGAGTGGGAGTGGGAGTTAGAGTAGGAGTGATGTGAGGTGAGAGTGTTGCGGAAAAGTAGCACTTACTACATATATTGCGAACGAAGTCGCGGACACAGCTTGTTAATTATAAACATTGCAGTATTTGCTTTATAAATACAAACATTTATGAACTAGCCTATAAATGAAAGGCGGCCTTTTCAGCGATCTATTCCACGCAACTTGTAGTGAAGGGAAAAACAAAGAGAATATGAATGCTTTCATTACAAAAATCGATATGCTATAACGTCACGTTTCGCGTTTATATATGACCACAGCCTAATGCATTGAGCTGAAGATTAATTTAATTAAGAACCTGTCTACCATATGTCCGGGGCAAACATTGTCATTTGTCGCATAATATGCTAAGCTCAATTGATTTTAATTGTACGTTTTACAAAGCTATAGACAATTTGACAATAGATTTATTTGCGATGTAAATAAGGCTATTAATATAATTGTTAAGTCATTAGGTACTAGCTTTAGGTAAGCGTAAATTTATGTATGATATCCTAAAACTTAATTACTTAAATAACGAATACCGATTACTAATTAGTATTCGTTATTGTAGTTCGATTACAATTGGTCACGCAAAGGTGGTTATTCAAAAAAGTACATATTCACCGTTTTAGACTTTAAATACTAATAAGAATAGACGTTTAGAATTTCTGTTTTTTTGTCTCGTTAATTTACACTGACCGCAAATCACTGCCGAACATTGTTTTTGGTAATTTGCAAAGAAACCTCACAACGGTTACGGAAACTCCTCCTTTTTACGTCAAAAGTATTTACTACACCCCGTTTATTTTTGGAACGCGTTTGTCAATTATTTTTTTTGAGGTATGGCAAAAATAACAACAGTTGCGTGTGCTAAAAAGTTAGAAAGCACTTTTGAAACACGTTAAAACTCAGTTCAAGCTTAATTTGGTGTTTTTATTTTTATCAACACGTTCAAACATTTTAAATACATAAAAAAACCATAGTAAATGATACTAGAAGACCTACTAGAAAGAACTATTTCGTAGTCACTATGAAAGACTATACGATACTGCCTGCAAGAGATTGCTTGTTACAAGAATAGAACGTAAAGAGACAAAGTTGTCTCGAGAGATTTTTCAAAAAAAAAAAAACAGGGGAGGTTAAGGTTGAAAAAATTTAATGAACATAAATAAAATGTATTTGTTAGCGTATAAAGTTTATTTATAAATCATGAAAATGCGAGCTGATTCTGTAATTTCTATCACGTGAGTCTAAATTTAATCATTTGTAATTGGTAAATTCGAGTTCAAAGCACGGTGTTTCCAAAAGCAAGTATCGCGGATACACAGTAATCAAAGATCACGTGCAAGCCGAACGTACGGGACAAGAAATGTTGGCGTAACACGTGTCTTATATCATTTTATACCTGCGTCAAACAGTAAATACCTCAAAGTACCCCAAGTAATGTGTTGCTATGGTAATCAAATACAAAACTTTTTAATGCCTTTTAAAACAGTTACAGTGAACTTATAACTACTAAATTGCTTAATATACTAGAAAAATAATAAATAGATAAGAATTGGCAATCAGTACCAGGAATCAGCTGTGCTGCTGAATGCTTGCCAAGCACTCAGCAGCAAAAACATGTTATTTTCTATAATAGAATACAGACAAGATAGAATTCACTAGGTGGTACTCATTTATATCAAGTACTTACCAAGATTATTATTATTATTATTATTATTTTCTTTCGAGGACACCTGTGGTAGGACGGGTGATCAGTCCACGTTATCAGCTGACCATTTCACCCATTTCCCCATTTCCTCCTTGTAGAGGTTTTGGGTCATCCAACTCTCCCCTTCCCCTTCAAACCTTCAGGTTTGCTTGCAGAATCTTATTATTTTTTCCATCTGTAATTCTTTGATTATCTTCTGTAACTTCGTCCGAACTTACCAAGTACGCGGTCGACCTATTTTGGCATTGGATATTCTAAATGGGACTGACCTATAAGAACATTTTTAAAAGATTGAAAGATTTCTATGTGTCTATATACCCCTAAAAATTAAGAACTTTATGTTTTTGTTTCTAAGTAATGTTTTTGGAAACATTAATTCGAGATCTAATTATGTATATATAAGTTAAAAAACATCGTCTTTTCCCGATTAATATGACTCGTGCATATTTTTTCAGTCAGTTGTTTAATTGCTATCCCAGTTTACGGCTTCGGTGTTAAAACTAGTAGAACAATTTTAAACTAAAACGATACTTAACCTTTAAATATCACTAAGATATCAAGATTAATGTGAAAAGGGAAGTTTGTCGTAGTTACTTAGGTATTATTTCTATCCATATGTTAATCTGTTCTGTTAAATACCACATTATTATTATAATATAAGAACTCGTTTATAATAAACAATATTTGTGTACATTTATAATACTTTAAAAAACATATAATATATTTTAAAAGTTAATTCAATTTTCAAAATAATGAACATTCAATATTAAATACTTTAAATGCAACGAATTATAAAATCGAGTCGTAGTTAATAAACAATTACTTAATATAATTTGTGGTTTAATAAGTGTAAATTTAATTCATTCCTCATAAGAATGAAAGCATGTACCTATCTATATCCATATTATTTGACTATAATATAAATAACAATATGTTTGTAATTACATTGTTATAGGTATGCTAGATAAAATAGCTACCTATTCAATTGCGGTAAGTTTTCATCTAGGTCTACGTGTATTGTATCAAGTTGCATAAACGCGTAGACCACGCATGCGCCAATTTGTCTATATAACCCGAGAACCCAGCTTCCCGACTACAGTTTGCGACAACCTCTCGTGAACAACCCCATTTCTCGTTGAACTAAATCGGCGACGAGCAGTGACAAAGTTTGTCAACAGTCTCAACATATAATATCTCATTGTCTATTCTATATTCGATAAAACATTAATATTTTATTCGTACATCGCAAGTGACAACGGCCTTATGAAAAACAAATTGGAAGGTGAATTAAAAGCTAGTGAGAGGTTTGCCGGCGATCTGCCGGTGAACGTACAAATTTCTAAAACTAGACGCGAATCTATGGCTCCGAAAATCATCGTGTGCCCACCAGTGGAAGAAATGAGCGAAACAGCACCTCGTGGCTCCCGTCTGCTGAAGGCGCTTAGTCGGCGTCTTTCACGACGTAACGCGGATGAAAATTCCTTGGGCAGCTCGAGCAGCAACGAGAGCATGTCTTGCGATACCGGACGAAGCGACGACCCCTCCTCTTGCTCGACCAGCGACTCGGGCAGCGAAGAATCCGAACGACGAAGGCGGCACAGATCGACAGTCTCTCTACGGCGCGTATTCCAAAATCTTAGTATATCCCGTTCTCAGTCGTCGTCTCCAACCGACCGCCACAGACAGGCTAAGAAACAGCCCCAGCCAAAACGCATTCTTCGACCCCCAGTTACCTATACATACGTCAGAGGTCTATCTGGACTTCCGACTCAAAGGGTTCCCCGGCACACGGTATACTGCGCCTCCGTCGGCCTTAACCGATAAAGAATTTAAACATCGATATGTGGACTCAACATCAAGTATGGAAATCAAGACTGTTTAAGAATAGAATTTTAGTTGTAACGGTCCTAGGACGTCCTCACCATATCAGTAGGTACACATAGATACCTGGAATTGAAAGTGCTAATACGGACCAAATTGAGGACAGAGAATGAATTTCACGTGCGAGGCTGTAAATCGTGTCTAATTAGGGAAAATTTAAGACTGGACAGTTAAGATATCTGACGTACTGTTAACTCCAATTGGCTCTAATGTATTTAAAGTCTCAAGAAATTACCGATGCCTTGGTAATGAAATTACAGAATACAGATCGATTATGGTAACACTATATCACTATGTATCGTGCCTTTCCACATATTGACAATTTTGATGTGTATACGCTAGAGTTTAATTATTACATATTCAATCTTTGCAATTTATAGATTTTCCACGACACCACATGTTTTCATAGATTAACAGTTATGATGAACACCTTTCTCAAATCTTTCTCTGCGTAGAACAATATTTAAAGTTTGAAAAAATATCTCTAAAGTTTTAGCGAAATTCGGTATTGTATGGTTTCAGCTAATTGGAAAAACAATTGTGTTAATATTTTGTTCTATATCGGATTGTTAGGTAAAATTGTATTTTAGGTACTAATAAGTAATAATTAATTAGGACGAATTAGATAGTTTAAATATTACAAATTTAATCTTAAGTCATTTTTATGTACTTATAGGTTTGAATAATAAAACTATTAAAAACGTTACTTTTTCCTTTTATTTATATGCACTGCCTGTTTCATAACCAGTCGACAAAAATATCTTTATAAAATGTTAATACTGTCTGAAGTTTACGCGAGTAGTACACATTTAAATTAAACACTTTAACGGTTTAAAACGCGATATATATTAGTTAAACAATGTTTCAAATAAGTTAATTATATAAGCCGTTAAAGTGTTTTCATTCATTCTTCATTTTCATATCATACAATGCTAAAATATATTTTAGATTTATCTAAGGTCTACAATATTATAATTTAACCTTTTCCTTTAACAGAAGAATATCTTGAAATCAGCTATATTTTACGGACAAGTATTCTGTTCTCCTAATGAACAATATTTGAAAGCAAAATTATAAATGCTTTATTGTAAGATGGTGATGAGATGTTAATTAAGTTAGCCTTCCCACGATATTTTGATAACAAGTATAATTATTAAAACGGTACACACAAGAAGGATAAGCATAGCATTATTCAATGTTAATGGAACAATAACTATCATATAATATGATAACGTATGATAACAAATATTTAACTTGACATATATCTAGCTGATCTAGCCGACGTTCTTTTGTCATAATATGAAGTATTACCATTAGTCGCGGACATTTTGAATCGTTTTCGCAGCGTACGCGACGGAAACCTTCAAATGGATAATTTTAGTTAATATTGTTGAATAGCCTAAAGCCTTCTATAAATATCTGTGTCTAACCAACAGAAATATTGATATTTTTTTTTAATTCGAGCCAGTAGTTTCATAAATAAGCACATTTAAACAAACTTTTCAGTTATTTAATATTAGTTATGACTTTAAACAAACAAAAATTACAACAGACATTCTATAGGTGAATTATGCGTAAAATGTTTTAGAATAATAATAATTCTTTCAAACAATTATAAATTATACAGATATTACTTTTGTAGACCAGACTTAAAAAATATAGTTCTCACGAAAATCCAAAAAACGTTTCGGTTTCAGTCTATAGATATCCAAATATCCAAAAACAATAATGCTCGACAGCGCATCTTTTATATATTTCATATTAAACCAATTTAAAATTGCCCAACTTTAAGTAGCTTTGTTTAAATATACCACTACTAATAGTATTATTGAATGAAAGAGGCGTTTTGTTAAATGTCCATAGATATCAGTTATATTTTCATAACAAAAGCAATATTTATTGCTGTTGATAACAACTGAAGAACATCGGGTCTTTGAAGGCTGTTGGGGAGAACCGACAACAAAACTCACACAGCGACGTGTGCACAGCTGTACTGCTGTACTCCTGAACGAAACACCTTCCATTGAACATAGCATACAACCTCCCGACAGGTTTCGAATTTCCAATAAGGAAAGTGTACTACTCCAGCGCAAGATCTAATAGAGAGACTGTACACTCTACGTCACTAAAACATAATTTTGGGTTAGTAGGTCATGAGGGGCCTGCAGTTGTGGAGTAGGGGTGATTTTTAAACCCAGTGACGTCATATTGGAGCCTTGGACCCCTCCCTCATTTGTGAATGAATGAATGGGTCAATAATCGATAGTGGTTATTATGCATTTATAAAGAGAAGTGATTTGAGAAAATAGGGACAATCTAATTTTGATTCTTTAGATTTCATGTTTAATCAGAAATAAGTTGTTTCTTGAATTGACTGCAAATAGAATATTCAAATAATATTACGGTCATCAATCATAAAATACACGTAACCGAACTGGTTACGTGTATTTTATGATTTTGTTAATAATAAAATAAATATCATTTAAATACATTATAATTTATTTTTAAGTAAAGTAAGAGCAAAAACAATATTTATTCAATTTGATAAGTATCATCCGGAGTTTACGCGAGAAGAAGACATTTAAATAAAACACTTTTAACGATTTAAAATGTGGAATATATTAGATAAGTAATTTTTACTACTGCCCTACGTCGGGTGGGTGGTGATTAACTAAATCATTTGCGTTTTAAACCGTTAAAAGTGTTGTACTGTAACAAAAAATTAAAATCAGTAAATAATATGCATAAATCTATATCACCTTATAAAATATACATTGTTCGACCTCGATTTTGTGATAGCGTGACGCAGTAACGAAAACCTTTCGACGACTTCAATCAATTAGGAAAGTAATTATTAATTTCACGTGACGACGATTTCCAATTAACACAGCCGTATAAACGAATAAAAAAACAAGTGGCGCTTGTGTTTTGACACATTATCAAAATATTAACTTATCATAAATATAGTCTTTAGTCTAGATTAGTTAGGTTAGCTTCCTGTTGTCTTTGTGACTAACAAAGACAACAAGAAAAACATACAAAAAATTAATAAATCACTTTGACGGTTTCGGATGAGGTGGACTTACATATTTCGTGTTTTAAACCGTTAGTGTTTCATTTAAGCGGCTTCTTCTTGTCAACTTTGAGAACTTGCGTAAACTATACATTATTTAAGAATATACGTTTTTACTTCGTAGCTTAAAAATAATTTTGCCATAATTACTGAAGTAACGTTAGTACCCGTCCTGTTTCCCCCCTAAAAGGCATGGGGCAAGCACATTTCTGTGTCCGTTTACTGACAGAATTTATTTACACGCAAGATTGGAACTTTGTGCCCTGCTGTAAATCATAAAATATATAAATGACAAATTAAAAATATTCAACTTTTCAAATATCCAAAGACAAAGTCTGCATCAGGTCTAAACCTAGATGTCATACGATTTAGGCGTTTTTACCGTTCTTCAAGTAATCCGCAATCAAAAATTTTTTTTACAATTGAAATTACCTTGACTAGAACAAATAACCTATAACTCTGGCTCAATAATTATCTCGCGGATACGTTAAATATTTCAGGCAGGGGCTGAAGTCCGATCTAATACTTCTTGACTTAAGTCATGGCTCAAGAGTGGCAAAGCGTGTTTTTTGTTGAATTTATCATATATGTGTGTATATATCAAAATATACACCTCACAAAATAAAATCTATTTATCTTTTTGTCGTTAATTTTCTTAATTATTTCTTATTTAGTTTTTCATTGATATTTCTTCTTCATTGGTAAGTATTTTTATAACATGTATGTAGTAAATCGTACCACAACCTCCTCGGAGACAATAGCCGACCAGAACCACTAAACACACCACCAGCCCGCTACTTTGCTTTGAGGGAGCCCTAGGAACGGGTTTGTAGGTAAGAAAATATAATAGGGGCTAAATTACGCATCTCCATGTTTCAAATTCGAACCTTTACGACTGAAGATTAAAAGCATTCAGTAATTGCTTTTTAAGATGTTTACGTAGACTCCACTACGACGCAATCGTGATAAATAACGTACAATTATTAGACGACAGCGGGCCGTCGATGCTCTATTTTTAGAATATTTTGCGAATGTTGTCACTCAACTCTTAGCTGCGAAGCTTCGTTAATAATTCGTATTGTATGCAGTTTGGCATCAAGTATTAATGTAGGTTAGTTACATAGAATAACATCTTGATTGTGCGTCTCAATAAATTTCTGAAGAAACAAGCTCTTATAATTCAAATTGTTATCATTTAAAGAATAATTAGAAAAGAAGAAGAAATAAGGTGAAGCTATATACCTTATTTCTAAAAAAGCCTATAAAGATAGGCTGCTCCTCATATCAAAGTACAGGTACAAGACTAAAAGAATAATTGCACTGGGACTCATACTCCAGAATCCAAATCGACTTCCCATTTTGTGCGATATTATGTATTTTTTATCTGATTGAGATTTGTTCGATTGATTGATCGGTTTTCTTTAGGCTAATCAGACTTCTGTGCCCCGCCTGACCGAAATAATGTATTGTTCCCCGGGAACCCACAATCTCTCGTAACTAACTCAACTGGTTAAACTCAACGCGTTTAACCATTAAGCCTACAAAGGCGGTCTTTATATTACACATAAAGGTGTGAGTGACATCCCGATTCCCCCCTCGTGGGGCATGGGGCGAACACATTTTTGTGTCCGTTTCACTGATCCGTTCTTTAAGAGGCAAGTAGTTGATCAGACTTCTGTGCCCTGCCCGACCGAACTTTTTGTTTCCCTGGGATTCGAACCCAGGACCTCTCGCGCTTAACACAATGCTAGGCAATACGTTTAACCATTTGGCTAGAGAGGTGATCATATGAATGCATAAAGGTAATTAATATAATTAAAGTCTTAGTCTGCTCTCAATATTCATATACTTGCTTACAAAGGAACTCGCT